TCGATAGGATATTCAAGCATAACATTAGCACCTAACCATAAACAAACCTTATCCGTTGGTGGAATTGTTGCTTTACCATAAACATTATGAGCTAAAAGAAAATTTGTGTCCATATTTGTATCTTTCTCACGATATTTACGAAGTTGTTCAATCATATCTACAATTAATTTTAAATGGAAAAAAAAAGAAAACTCAATACAAAATTTACCTAAACAAATTTGAATATCAGGTAATTTTCCTCGTAAACGTTTTTTCTTTTGTAATAAATTCATTTCCATAAATCGATATTTGCTATTTAAATCATCAAGTCTTAAATGAAAACAAAAAAAAAAGTAATAACTTATTAATCAAGATTTTATTTTCTTTACCTTTTAATAACTGTATCTACAGAATCATTCTCTGGTTGTTGCATAAAACTATCCACATCTTCAACAAATACTGCTGTTGGTATACCTAAATGTTCACTATCACCACCACTAGTTATTGATGCCATCTGAAAAATTCTATGAAATAAATTATTAAACTGTTAACCTATTGCACATGCTCTTTTTTTCTTAGCAAAAAAATAATAAATATATAAAAAATCACATTCATAATAATAAAACACACACACACGCATTAGATGCTTATAGATGTTGTTGACGAAAACTAAGAAAAAATAAAGATGAAATGAAATTAAACTGAAATTTTATTTACCGAATATTAATTTTTGCACGTAGAAATAAACGAATGAGAATAAAAGCAATAAAAGGCCAGAGTAATACAAATGCTATAGCACCTCGACGAAAACCAGATAATGGCAACCATCGTGAAGAAGACTATTGACATGAAAAATATTTAAAAATATGTTTTAAAAATAAATAATCACTTACATCCAATTGTGAAACTATAGATAATTCTTTCTAAAATACAATAAATGAGAAAAATCGTTCAACTAAAACATGAAAATAGTTTTTTAAACCTGTCGAAGAAGATATATAGATGTTTCTAATTGATTAAGTCTGTTTAATATATTATGAATATCTTCTTGAAGTTTAGTTAATACTATTAAGATTGTACGATGTGTTTCTTTACTATAATTAGTATCATTCGATGCATTAGATGAGTTATAATGAACAAATGAAGATTCATTAGTTGGTGATGCTATTTCATCGTAAGTGGGCATAAGAAAATCAGATGGATCATCATAAAATTCATCGAGATCTATAGAATATTTATGATTAATCAATAAGAAAAGAAAACATGTCAAATGTTCCGTTTACCAGACAAAGATGCTAATGAAGAAGATAGTGAAGACGAAGACGTTGAAGATTCATTCTGATCATCTATAATAAATTAATAGTTTTTAAAGAAATTCTAACCAATCTTTCTTTACTTTTTATCATATTTGTTTCACATGAATTATTTCCTTTCAATTGAACATCAATAGTTTTATTTCCTTTTCTGAAAGAAAGAATTATAGAGTGTTTCAATTCTCGACTTCTTGAAATGGATAAAATTTGTTTGACCAAACCAATCAGAAATTAGCATACGATAAACTAATGAAAACTTAGCGCTAGTTATCCAAAAAAGAAACCTTGACCTAAGCTTTTCATGGGTGTGGGTGTGAATATTCTATTTATCTCTCGCAGCCACACCCACACCGTTATGCATAAAATAAACGTTACTTGTTTGCGAGTCCAATTGATTTAGCAAATTCCAGTGTTTCATTTGTTTGTGGCATTGTTTTGATAATCTAAGAGATTATCAAACAAATTCATATGAAATAGAAGCTTATTATTATTCTTTTTTTGTTTACTTTATAAATTTCAATAACATATGCTAACATAGCTTGGTTTTTACTCATCGATTGACAACTATTCCATGCTTCCCTAAATAAATAAATTCTTCATTTATCATTCACAAATTTTTTCTTGATTTTACCATTTCGCTCGACCAATATAATTAAAAACGGATGGTTTTGGTTCTTTGCATGGGCCTAATGTTGCTTGTTTATAATAACCATAGAAAATTAATTTTGTTAAATTAGATGGTTGAATGATACCTAGCAAGAAATTAGTCTTATATTTACGATATTTCATTTATAACATATATCGTACCATTATCTGGTAAAGTTTGAATCGTTTTAACAGCTATATTAAATCTTTCTTCTAACTTCGTTGATGATGCCATTAAAATAAAAATATCTAGAAAACAAACATTTAACGCATATGACTAAATACACATATATTTTCAAATGCAAAAGTATCTCAAAAGTATCATATTTAAGTATCTGTTCCAGATGAAACCGATTCTACATCGGAGTCTGTATCAGTTAGGTCTTGTCTAATAATATTTGTTAGCGGAAGTGATGATTTAGTTGAACCACCTGAAGCAATAAATGATGATGCTGAATCTATACGTTTATTAAGATTGGTTTGTATAATACCAGATGCTGGTGAACCTTGTCGTATCGGTTTTTCTCGTACGAGAAGTTGTTGTTTAGGCAATGGTGGTAATAAATTTGTTGGTGCAATTGGACTGGATATACGTGTTGAAGGTGTTGATATAGATGTTAATGTTAATTTTGTTTCACTTTGTATGGATGGTATCGGTTCTATAATACATCGCTGTTGTTGTTGTTGTTGTTGTTGAATTAAACGTGATGGTCTTATAATAATTGGTTCTTTACCAATAAATCGAGTTAATTTTTCATTTCTAGCTAATTGTATTAGAAAATTTTGATGATTTAATTGTTGTTTCTGTTGTAATAATAATAATACATCATCTAGAATATTTAATGGTGGACAAGAACATGTATTTGTTGTTATTAATTTTTCCAATCCTTCATATAAAAGTTGACGATGATTATTATTTTGTTGTGGAATACTTATTTCAGCTGTTGGAACATGACATGTTAAACGATGTGAAAATGAACGAAATAATTGTTGAGATTCATTTATAAATTCACTATATACAAAGTTCAATTGAAATGCACGTAAATATATAATATAATCAACGGATAGAGACCATTCAATATCTTCAAGTAATGTAGCACTTGTTTCTAATAATGAATATGGAAAATCAGGACAAATCGAAAGTATGACTGTATGTAATTCTTTTAATGTACTTGGAGTTGGAATTGCTGTTTCATATTTTGACCATATATGAGTAAGTAATGCACGACGATTATAAAGTGTACTATTGACAAATGTAAATTCACGACCAATAACATGAGATTCACGTTTTACTTGTTGAAAATAATCTCTTAAAAGTACATTAACATCAGTTTTTGCTGTAGCTAATGATGAAGATCGTCGTCGTGTATCGAGAAGACTTCGTATACAATCTTCAAAATAAATTGTTAAATGATGTTGTTTTAAATACGTTTGCTCGTCAGTAAAATCATCAGCCATTTATTTACAAGTTAACGTATAAATTTGATTTTTCATGCTAAATTTCTTAAATTGCAGAGTCGCTATGGACAACTATACAAATATATGGTCGAATAGAAAAACGACTAATACACAATGACATCTATAACTTGATAGAAAAGAGAAAAAAAATTACTTGGAGGTTTACATCTTCTATCAATGTTTTAAATAATGGCTGCATGTCCGTCAATGTCAATGTGTTATATCATTTCTTCACAAAAAGATACAAAGAAAGAAAATTTATATCATTTTTTTTAGATATATCTTTTTGTTTTTTTTTCGTCAAAATGGTTTATCCAGCATATGGTGGCACAAATAGTCCGAATTCATTGTCAGGTGGTGATCAAAATAGAAAAATATTTCTTGGTGGTTTAAGTTATCAGTATGTATTTATTGTTAGATTTCAACAAAAAATAAAGTCTCATTTTTCAGTACAACTGATGAAACATTACGTGCATTTTGTTCACGTTTTGGTAAAATGACAGATTGTCTTGTTATGAGAAATTCAGAAGGAAAATCCCGAGGTTTTGGTTTTGTTACTTATGAAGGTAATGATAAGAATTCTTTAAATAAACTTCTAAAAAATAATATTTATATTATATAGATACGTCATCTGTAGAAGATTTTATGCGTTCAAGACCACATACAATCGATAATCGTCAAATAGATCCAAAAAGAGCGAGTATGTATATATCTATATTATTTCAATTAAATTAAATAAAAAATTTTCTTAGTGCCACGTGAAGAACAAAACAGCTCAGAAGCACATTTAACGGTTAAAAAATTATTTGTTGCTGGTTTACGTGAAGGCATCAATGAAGATAATCTTCGACAATATTTCTCACGTTTTGGAAATATTGTTGAAGTTCTTGTAATGAAAGATCGTGATGGTGAGTTGAACACAATTGAAATATAAAATATATATATTATTTTTTTAGGAAAACCTCGCGGTTTTGCATTTGTTACATTTGACGATTACGATGCTGTTGATAAAGCTGTCCTTGAAAAACCACATATAATCAATGGAAAAAATTTAGATGTTAAAAAAGCTGTACCCAAAGAAAAAATGCAAGAAGAATCGACAGGAAATGCTGGTGGTGGTGGTGGTGGCGGCGGAGGATCTGGTATGTCACCGTTCAATCGAAGTAATAGCTCGAATTATTCCGGAGCAAATTCTGGACCGCCACCACCGGCTGCCTCGCGAAATAATTTTGGACCAATACGAGATAATTTTAGTAATTCCAGTGGTGGTTGGGATAATCAAGGTGGAATGTCTCGAATGAATAATCAAAATCAAAATTATAATCAACCACCAACATCTTCATATGGTCAACAAGGTGGATATAATTCAAATACATCTGGTTTTAACCCTCCAATGCCATCGACTAGTGGTTATTCTCAACCATTTAATCAAATGGGACAAAATCAACCACCACCACCACCTCCACCACCGCTTCCTCAACAACCATCAATGATGAATTATGATCTATATAATAATAGTTCGAATATACCCTTTAATAATAATCCTAATCAACCACCAAGTTCAAATTATATGCAACCAAATCCACCATCCTATGGACAAAATCAACAACAAGGTTTCGGTAATAATCCAAACAATTTTGGTGGCATGAATAATCCATTTAGTTTACCACAACCACCAACTAGCGGAAGTGGAGGCTATAATAATCCTTCATCAACATCAACGCCATTCGATAATTCCAATTCATATGGTATTACTTCGCAAAATTATGCCGGTGGAAATTATAATAATATGCCATCACAACAATCTCGTGGTGGTGGCCCTATGCGTGGTGGACGAGGGTAAGTCTAGTCTATGTTTAAAATTAATATGATTAATTTTCTTATTATTTTGATGATATAAATATTTATTTTTTCTTCAAGTGGCGGCGGTGGTGGTAGTGGTAATTTTGGTGGCCCTTCAGGTGGCGATAACGGCTATGGTAATCGACCAGCTCCTTATCCATCGCGCGGTGGTGGTCGTGGTGGTGGCCGAGGCGGTGGTCGCGGTCGTGGCCGTGGACAATAAAAATTCAAGTGTGGTATGTGTTTAAGGAGAAATTGGAAGAAATATTCAAAATAAATGACATCCATATTGGACGTGTGTAAAGCATTTTTCTTTCGATATCTTTTTGTTGTAGTTTTCTATTTCACTTGCCCTTATATCTTTTGTCGTCATCGTTCTAAACAAAACTAATAATATACTCTAAAATAAGTTCCCTTTCCTTAGAATTACTTTAAAGCAAAAAAGCAAGACTACAGCTATACGAATATATATTCAACAAAAAAAAAGCATATATGTATTTTTTCATATGTATATAGCTGTATAACATCAGTTAGAGTTACAATATATTTCGCTCTAGAATGAAATTATAAAGAACAAGACAAATAAGAAAATCTCCTAATGTGTTTTGTTTTTTTTGTTTTCCTTTTTTTCTTGTCGTGTTTCACATTCAGTTGTATAAGTCACCATGTTTTTTTCTTTTGTGCCTGTTTCTCTTAAATACATGTGCGAAATTTATAATTCACGATTATTATTAAGTCTAAGCATATTAGTATATATGTTAAGATATAGTTTATACATACTATGAATTAGAAGATAGATTTTAACAATGATTCTTTTTTTTTTGGGCAATTAATATTTGAATCAGTACAGATATATTAGTATTAAGATATCGGAATAGTTTTATGATAAATAGTCATTTAAAGTATGTATTTATTTTATTTATAGGAATATCGATTAAGATATTACGATATATTTATGCTTGTTACCTTATATATATAGAACTGATTGTATTGCATGCTTCATATATTAGTAGGTTCATAAGTATTCAAGTTTTGACAGAAAACAAGATAAAAGTCGTTTATGTTTCTGAAGAAAGTGCTTCTTTATGTTTTGCTTGTGTTTTGTGAATTTATAGACTATATTATTTAGAGTAAGTGTATATTCATATATTTTACATATGATGCACAGTGAAAGAATGAATATTATCACACACACACACATACTGTCTTTCTCTTTTACGAAAGAGAAACTATGGTTACAAGTATATCGTATAGTCTAGATGACAAATCGCTTAGGCGAATCAGCATCAGAATGCACAAAATCTCAAACATCTATTAATGGGAAGTGTTATTTATACAGAATAAGTATCAAAGTATAACTTGGTATGTATATTTAATATTGTATCTTTTAAGTTTAAATTAATATTTTTATCTTTTGTTTTGTTTTCTTCTTCTAATACAAACAGTCTGTATTAGAACAGATTATCAAGAATAGTATTTATGAAATCTTTTATTTAGAATGGCAAATTAGAATATGGTTTGGCATCAGTTATTTATAGGCAGATTTTAAAGAAAAAAAAAACAGTTATTAGTAGAAGTAAGCCGCCGCTTAAACAGGAAAACAAGAATTTTTCTTATTAAAGATAAGTAAAGAAGATTTTATATATAGGGAAAGATATTATCTCATAAGTAGTCTATCAACAAATTAGATCTGAGAGAATTTATATACATTGTTATTTTTGATACTATTTTATTTTTATACTTATAGGTATTGGATTAATACGATACTTTTTCCTCTGTGTAACAAATACAATCAATGTTCAGATATTGTTTGATACGAATTATTGAAGAATCTCTTTTTTTTGTTATTTTATTTGTATTATTCAATGAATAGAAATAGTAAATTATACTAATTTTTATTACTGTTTTTTAAATAAATAAATTTTGTAATTTGAAACAAAAATATCAAAAGATAAAATACAATTTTTAACTGAGAATTTCTATATGAAAATATTCAATTATCTCTTCAGATTGAAGAGAAAGTAGTAACTGATAAATATGGACATACCCCAAAGCGATATTCGTTCTTGCGTATTAATTCGTGGAACACGTTCATCAACTACAAAAGAAATGGTAAATAGTTATTGTGAAACATATGGACAAGTTAATTATTGTCGTATTGCAATTAATCCTCAAGGTATTATGCGTGGATATAATGTTGTATATAAGCAAGAACATTCAGTCAATCGTTTTATGGATGATCGTCCTCATCGTATTGATGGTCAATCAGGTAAACCATCAAAAAATTCTTAGAAATAAATTACATGTTTTTCTTTAAAAAATTTTCTAGTAAAAGTAAGACGATGTATACCTTCGGATGAAGAATGGAGATTAACAAGTGAAATTCTCATAACATCATCAGATGATTCAACTGATAATCAAGTACCTAATGAAGATTCTCTTCGGTAGATATTTTTAATTAATTAGAATAAAACACGAAAAACTATCTATCGTATTTAGTGATTACTTTTCTAAATATGGTGCAATTCGTACATGTCGCACTGATACTTATTATAATCGACCATGTGCTCATTTAACATTTGGTAAGTTTTATTTTAATTATGATGTATCGTACTAACTATATTTTCTAGCTGATTACGATCGAGTTGATCAATTAATCAATGATAAACCACATACAATCAATAAAATGCTGATAAATGTTCGAAAATATATCACTCATGATGATGATAATAAACTTCAACCATCATCATCATCATCAAAACAAAGTTCGAAATTTGATACAAAACGTCGTCAACAATCTTCAACTGATTCTGAACAACGTCGTAATAAAAAAAGTCGATCTTCAACAGCATTATCATCAAAAATAACTATTAAACAAGAACGTTGTAAAGATACTGATATAACTCGTCTTAAAACTGCTAATAATTTATTAATACGTGAAGTTCAGTCGCTTATATCTCCGCCAATACAATCAATTGAAAGAATAAATAATGATGAATTATTACGTTTACAAGCTGATTATGAACGTTTAAATACTCAAACAAAAAATTTATGTCATGAACAAAATAATGAATCATATGATCCGAATACAAATGAAGTTTTAACTAAACTTCATGATGATGTTACAAATTTACTTCAACAAATAAAAAATCTTCAACAAGAAAAAAAATCATTTGTTGATGAATTATTTGAAAAATATACTGTTGAATATATTCTTTCTTTGAATAACGATGATATTAATCAAAGACTTGAACAATTGGAAAAAGAAAATCAATTACTTTTACTTATCCGACAAGTAAGATACGACTTCATGATGATGATAATTAATAAAATATTTCTATTTATCATTTTAGAATATGCCAAATAAAAATATATGATAATGAACATGTCAAATAATATTAGTAAACTTATTACGTATTGCAGAGAATGTTTATTTTTAGTTTACGTTGTTCTGTATGTTTTCGTGCTTTTGTTGTTTTTGCTTTCAACTGATAACTATGTATATGTGTATTTGTGAAATAATTTGAAATAAATATCGTACAAATCAAGTTTAAACTTCAACATAATTAGAATAAATTTACTTTTCATAAACTATTTACTAAATCGAAATAAATACATATCTCAAGACAATGCTCCCTTTTATTCTCTAAGACACGTGTCTATCGAAAAGATATCTCGTTATTCGTTGTATCTATCATATACATATGTATACATATATATATATCCCTCGATCTCTCTTTCTCTTTCTACTTTTCGTTATCTATTCTTTTCTAAATGAGCTTCTCCGTCGATTTGTTTAAATCGCTTTTTTATTTTCTGTAGAAAGCCATCATGCAAACAGCATTTAATAAGACATCATATGATTTACGAGCAAAACCAATTCAAGTAATATAGATCACATAGCAAAATAAATATCTATCTTATTTTGTATTTTAAAGACTTTTTGTAATATACCTAAATTAGGAAAACATGAACATAAAAAAACATTTAAAATTATTGGAAATAATGAAAGTCAATTTTTACTTGATGATAAAGTAAGTCGAATGTTTGATTTTATTAATTGAAAATTTTGAATGTTTTAGCCAGCATTTCATTTTGAACATATATGGGGTGAAGGTACAAATGGTGAAATATATGATCGATTTGCTCGACCAGCTATTGCTGATCTTGTTCGAGGGCGAAGCAGTAAAATAAATACCAAAAAAAAATATCTTTATTCAATTAATTTTCTTTTAGCACTTCTATTTGTTACTGGTCGAAATAAAAAATATCGTAATGATATTCTATTTGGTGAAACAAAAGATACTGGTCTTATATCTTTAACAATCAATGCACTTTATAATAGTATTGGTGAACATCGTGCATTAAAATATGTAAAGATTAGAATTTTCTATTTTAATATTTCAAAAACTATTCTATTAAATATAATAGTATTTTAGACCTATGGGTAATAATAGTTATAAAGTTCAATCTGATGCTCAAGCTATGTTTGATCGACATCAACGAGATCTTTTGCCAAAAGTAAGCAAAAATATTATTGGAAATATTACACATACAAGTATATTAGAAAAGTAAGTCATTAGAAAATAGGATTTTTTCGTTTATTGGGAAGTCTTTTTTTTTTAATTCATTTTAAGATCAATTCTTGATCAAACATCAAATGTATCTGGTATTGATGATGATTATGTTTATACAATATTTGTTTCGGCTATGGAAATTAATTCAACACAATCACATTCAGTCACAAGTGATTTATTAAAAATGTTTACAGAAGGTATTAATCATACGCCTCTTGAAACTCCTCAAACATGTATGGAAATTGAATTTGATGATGCACGTAAAACACGACGAAAATTATTTGATACAACTAAAATACCTGCAAAAGAGAATTCAACACGTTTATATACGATACGTCTTGTACAAGCACGAAAATCAGAACATACAGAAGTAAAAATTGAAAAGAAAATGAAATAAGTCTATATTTCTTCTTTTAAGAATATTACACCGATTGTTAGTCAACTAACATTTATCGATTTAACAACCAGTAAAAATGCAGCAGGTATAATAAGAATAATGATTGTTTAAATTTTTATTTTTGGAATTATTTTTATAGATTTAAAAGCTGTGAAAGATTTTATTGTACCGCCGAAAAAACATTCAGTATGATTATATATTATTTAGATAAAGTCTTTTAATGTTATTGAATTTAGATTGATTCTTCGAATCATTTACAAGATTTTCTTAATCAATTTCCTATACAAGATCATCAACAATTATTTGTACCGATTAAATTACTTTTATGTGCATCAGCAAGTAATAATGATGCAGAAGATACTTTAGTAAATATTTCCTTTCGTCAAAAAAGTTTAAGAAATTTTTCGTTTTTTCCGTTCTAGTATGATATTAAATGGTTAATGAGTCTTCAAGCTAATCAGTATCTTGTTTATTTGGGTCGAGATGAAGAAAAACTTGTCACACGTGATGATGATCATCATCGACCACCACGTCCACCACCAATTCATTATTCAACATCATTACAACGTACTGATCATACAAATTTAGCACAACATGTACCATCTTCAACTCCACTTGCTCAATCAACACCACGATCTGTTACGCAAATACCAACATCAACAACAACATTAGCATCTGTTAATACACAACATTCACGTCAATCACAATATCAAACGATAAATACGACACCAAATCGATCATTTAATTATATTCCAAGTATAACCGAAAACTTTTTTTGGATATTATTTTATTATTCAAATTTAGATACAATTCAATCAATCCCTCCATCACGACCATTATCATCTTCTCGACTCGTTATGTCAAATCGGTCAGAAGAAACTCCTACATTTATTACTTATCCATTGACACCAAATACAGGTTCATCTCATCTAACTCAAAAAGTACCACCACGTATTCCACCACGAATTCATCGTACACCAAAACCTTCACCGACGACGATCGAACAAGAAGTACCCGTATCAACAGAAACAAGATTAAGTTCAAGTATTCAAAATCGACGACCACCACCACCACCGCCGCCGCCTCATGCGCCATCAACTCTTACTACTGAATTAAATAAATTAAATAAAACACGTTTTTCACGAAAATATTCACGAACAAATTTAACTAATGATGTACAACAACGAGCATCTTCTGCTATTGCTACTCGTACAATACCAACACCAATATTAACAGCAAAACGTGTACCTTTAAAAGAAGAACATTTACTTAAACGTTCATCTTCAGCTGATCGTGTTGGTCGTGAACGTTGGTTACATCATATAACTGACTCATCAACAATTAATAATAGTTTGTTTGATTTTCTCTGAAAAACATTTTTTTCTATAAATTATTCGTTTTTTTCCAGCGATTAAACTTCGAACTTCACTACCAAATCCATTACAACTTGTATCAAATCATTTTAATTCTATGTCAAAATTATTAAGTGCAACAAAATATGCAATTGAACATCGTGCTGAAGATAGTGTTCAATTATTTCAAGTAAATTTCTATTCTAATTTCTATCTTGAAATGCAAAATTTCTTCTTTCAATTAGGGTGATGTTATGGCAACAAGTAAAGGTGGTGTAAAAGTTGTTTTTACTTCAGTTGATCAAGTAACACATAATAGTTTACTCCCATCGACATGTGAAAATTCTGTTTTGGGTTCGTCAATTATTTCAATATAATTATTTTTATATGTTGTTGTTTGTTTTTTCTTTATTCTTTTCTTTAGGAAGATGTTAGTCGTTGATAACACATACATACGACTATGTTTATTTGTTTTATTTTACTTAATAATTATGTTTTATTCGGGATATTAAGAAAGAGATATTTGACAAAAAGGACAATTTTCTTTCTTTGTGTGATTTCAGAGATTATATTATATTGTTTATATTTTATTTCGCGTTTTCTTTTCATTCTCGAATAAACTTATGATGAACTTGTTCTATAAACGTAATAAACAACATTGTATTCAGAAAGACGTAACCTTCATAAAAAATAATATATATATATATATATAACGAAATTGCTTATTACATCTAGTCAGTCACACCTGAGTGCTTTTGCATTTTTTCTCTGTCATTATAACGATGAAATGTAGTAGCGTCTTCTCTCTCTCTCTCTCACGCTTTTGAATATATATATATGATGTACTATGACATTGAGTATGATAAAATGAATGAATAATAGAAGGAAAAAAAAGAGAAAACGACTTTATTTCAGATAAACAAGAAACATTGATATGCACGCACAAAGGAAAGAGAGATTTTCAAAAGAACAAAAAAAGACATAGTGGTGTTGAGAAAAAAAAATTGGTGGTGTTTGAGTATTATGGTCAGTCGTCGTCGTCATCATATAGTGCAAAAAAAAATGTTTTCATTTTTCTGAAAAGGTACATTATATATTTGTTATAGACCAAGAAAAAGAGTTTTGCTGCTGATGTTGTTCAATAATAAACATATAAAGAAATAGAATTTTTTGTTTTTTTTTATGAAATAATATATATTGTCAGTTTAGCAGCGTTGCATGCGGCAGACAATGGTATAAAACAATGAAGCAAAAAGGAGAACAAGTCCAACTTGTGCTTGTCCATATGCACCACTAATACCTTCCACTCTTTTGTATGCATCCAAAAATTGCTCTAAAGATATTAAATTAATATAAACAAAAACAAAAATTGTAATACGAACTAGCATAGGCTGTGATGGCGATTAAACATGCAAATAAACCCAATGCACCAATAGCTGCTAAACATAATAGACACCCGAGAGTGCCACCAATTGCTCCAAGAGCGCCACCAAGACCTGCACCACTAGCAGCTGGTCTTATCGCGGGTCTAGCTCCATAGACTGGACGTGCTACAGCAGATCTGAAATTTTTCAAAAACAGAAAGTTACTATGAATATATATTCAACTAAGTTAAATCACTTACCGAACTCCATATGGTCGAGGAGCTGGAAGAGGTCGTCGAGCAGAGTCCGCCATCTCAGTTTAAAAATAATCTAAAAGACAAATAAAATATACTTACAAGGACATAAAAAATCTTTTATGTCTTCATATCGTATGGCTAAAGACTGTCCACACGTGTTCATTCATAACTTTTCTTCGTTTTAGCAAGACCCTTCCTCTCTTTTTCTTCTTCTCTTTTCTCTCTCTCTCCCTCTTTCTCTTTAACTACCTGTACAGCGATCTTCTCTTAGCAGAAACGATGACGGCTTGTTTGTCAGTACGTCGAAAAAAAAAAAGATACTATAATACAACGTATTACTTGTTTTTCTCTACTCTTTTTCTTTCCCTCTCATCACCATTATCATCATCGTCATCGTCGTCACTTTTCCTGATCAATCGCCTCTTCATATAACTTAATAATTCGTATATCATCATCATATTGTCTTATTATGAATCCTAGTTTTTGTTTTTCTCCTTCCCTTTTTCTCTCTCTCCCTCTCTCCCTCTCTCTCTCTCCCTCTCTCCCTCTCTCCCTCTCTCTCTCTATCTCTCTGTTACCTTTCTAAAAGTAGAGAAAAAAATACTGTATACAAATGCTCTAACGATGCATACAACTTTAGTTGACGGCATGATCAAGCTACCCACAATTTTTTTTGTCGATAAACGTATATTTCATTTCATTGCCTCACCACCACCTCTCTCTCTCTCTCTTCCTGGCTGGCTGTACTACGCATGACTTCACAGTCGTCATCATCGATTTGCACCTGAATCATATACATAGTTTGTCATGGTGTAAATGTTAGTACTAAAAGAGAGAAAATGCATGTTTGTCTTTTATATTTTTACGAGTTTCAATAACTATTTTAGCTAAGAAGAGATTCAGTTTATGCGAATGTTCATCACTTGACAGTCACTAGAATATAATCGTTAGTAATAAGATTTGAACATACTGTACGGTAATAATAAGATTTTTTCAGATAATATAATATAGTTGATAAAAATAATAAAATCTCTTCCTAGGTAGAGGGTTATCAAGAAAAAGGATAGGAAAAAAGTATATGAATGGATTGGTCGATCGACAACATATTTTCGTCTCATCGTGCGTAGGCATCGATGCACGATCGCGAAAAAAAAATCATAACCATAAGCATGTGCAGTCAGTCAGGAATGTTTCGCTTGATCGATCACCTGCCGTACTTTTTTTATTTCATTACGCATCTTCCTTTTCTTTTTTTTTTCTTTTTGTATAATATCCATATACGAACAGGTATGACAAACATTGGCGGCCTCCTTTTTTTTTCTCACAAAGTGTACAAAAAAAAAGCAATGCTTCGCCTACCCTCTCTATCACTCTCTCTCTCGTCTCTATGTACAACCTTGAGGTGCAAACCTCATCCTTTTTTTTCTGAATGCATTGAGAATGTTGTAATTTTCTTTTTGTATTGGTTGACGAAGTAATTTTCTTTATTGGACTGAAACCTTTCTTTTTCTTCCTCTCTCGCCCTTCTGTTGTTGCGATCATCATCATCATCATCATCATCATAAATGTATGAATGTTTGAATTGTCCAGAAAAGTCCCTACTAAGTGATCTATCTTGTCCATTTTTTTTATCTATCTATTCTATGAGTATGTAAAAGAGTTCTTGAATATTTAGACAATGACTAATATTAGTACCTTATCTAATTTAAATGACCATGGAGTCTGATGAAATTTGTCCTTGGAAACACTTTTTTTTTCTATTAATTATTGACCAAGATTGTTATTATATCGTTATTTTTCTTTTCGTTTTTTCTTTTAGTAAACTCTTAACATGCCCCGAGTTCGAGTGCCCGTCCGACGTTCGGGATATCGTTATACAGCACGGCCCGGTAGACGATATCCAGTTGCGTAAGTATCTTTTTTATATGATATAAATTACAAGTTAATACAATCTTTTATCTATTTACAGACCCGTAGCACCAGCACGTGGAGGCAAAGGTTTATTAGGAGGTTTAGCCGGTCTACTCTTGTGTTTACTGTGCTTAGCAACACTCGGTCTACTTGGTCTTTTCGCAGCATTTATTGCAGTGACAGCTTATCTAGGTAAGATTTTCGTATTTGTATATATTAGAATATGATTTTTAATAATTTCATTTGTTTAATTTTTTTTAGGAGATGTTTATCGTGCATTGAAGAGTGCCGGTGGTGCTGCACCCGGCCTTTACGTAAATATGGCCGTCTTATTCGCTGCCTTATTCTTTGCCGTTTATCATAAATTGCAACGATCATTATAAACAATATTCTTCTCTTATTTTTAATGTTTTATTTTGAGTCGTCGATTTATCGTCGCTGTTATTATTTTTAATTAATCGAACTCTACGGGCTTTCTTTTTTTTGCGTAATTTTTTCTTCTTTAAAACACCAAGATTTTCTCTTTTTCTATTTCAATTCTTCTTTTTTCCTAATTATTTATCACACACGCACACACATCTATTTTTTATTTAATGATCAAAACTTTTTCAACCAAGTGCCGATTTAAATGAAAATGAATATATTTGCAACAATATGAAATAATTATTCCATCAAGCCATCATCATCATCAACAACAACAATAACAACATCAAATCATCTTATTTTTTTACAACAATGATATCACTTTTAATTCGCTTAATATAAACAACAATTAAAATGGCCAACGGGGTTTTTTTTTCGTGTAGCGCGAATGTGTTTTTTTCTTCTTCTTTATATCGAGCACATCATTTCCTTTTTTTTTCTTTGTGTGTGAGAAATAAAATACAATGGGTGGCTATTTAAATCTCTAGTTTTTTAATTGAACGAAAATGAAATAGAAAACTTTGATGTTAAATAAAGCTAGAGCAATTTTGATTTGTTCGAATATATAATAAATCAATTTAATGTATACTATAGTTTATCATTATTCTATCAAATAGATGTACTTGAAAATTAAATAATGATGGTCAAAGATATATGTATATATATAAATTTCGCTTTTTCAGGAATTTTGATGATTTTTATGAATAAATGATTTCATAGTATTTTTTCTATGCAACTCTCTATGGATATAAAAAAATGTATATAGTATTTTAGTTTTTCTTGTCATTGAAAAAAACTTGGCAATTTTGTGAAAAACAAAGTTTATTCATCCATATCATTCGGTTGGTCTCGAATAAGCTTCAGTAATACAATTTATTTTAATAACAAACACTAGCTTTAAAATTCTTTCTGGAAGGATAATTATTTTATTTTCTAAGAAATCCAATAGGAACACCATTACTTAAAATAAATTGTTTAGTTTATATTATTGATGTTTTATTAGAGATTAGCTTTCAAATCAGATCATCATTTAATGAAAAATATTGTCTCTTTTTGTAAAATCTAAATGAGAAAAATGAAGATTAACAATCATCTAGCTGTTTCTACTTGTTAAAGAAGTATCATACATTCATCAATAAAATAAGATCGTATTTAAAAATGTTTATAACATGATATTTTCATTCAGAGATAGTGGCGGATTTAGGGGTGGGCGATCGCCCCCTCCTTCAGAAATTTTTTTCGATTTTTCACAGCAAAAATGAACGAAAAAATAGGTTCACTCTACTTCGACTGGACTCAAAAAATAGTTTGTAGCCGAAATCGCCCCCTCCCCTACTCAAGTATTGCTCCTTCATACTAAGATATCGCCCCTTCCTTTCAAAATCCTAGATCTGCCACTGTTCAGAGATCATATATAAATGATCTGAAGACAAAATATAACAAAAAAAACCTTATTTATTATTATTACACACGATCATTTGCAACTCTGAGCTGTACCATTATTTTTAAGATATAAAATTATTTAAATCCACCTGTTACCAGCAAGTGTGTATATTCTCTTTGAATATAATTTAACAACTTGTGTCATCTATTGACATCTTATACTATTCGAAAGCGATTTTAATCCAGTAGTTGTTTTTTTAAAAATAATTCACTCTCTGATGATTCATAATTACATATAGGTTAAGTGAACAATAGAGGAGGAACGAATTGTCAGGTTTTATTTACTCAGTTGACGCGACTGTGATAAATGAATAATTATCATTTGTAATCTTTACCTACTATGATTCATTTTTGTTTTGTTTATAGACACTTTCTTTCTTTTTTTTCCAAATCGACTTCATGTCTCATTTCTTTTCTATTCAACATTGAAGACAATTAAATATCAATTATGTTAGGAGCGAAATATGATTTCAGCCGAGATCGTGAACGACGTGCTGGTATTGATGATATGGTAAATAAATATAAAACAGAACCTGAAGAATAATTTTTGTATTATTTTATTTTAAATCCAGGTTTTTATGTCAAAAAATACTGATTCAGACATAAGTCACAATCTCAAGATTCGTTTTGATGTCAATTATATATATGTATTGAAATACTTCTTTTTTTTGCTTTAAATAAACACTTCTATTTGCCTTTTCAAATAGACATATATTGGTCCTGTTTTAATTGCTGTAAATCCATATAAAAATGTTGATTATTGTCGTGAAAATCATATGGAAAAATACCGAGGAGCAGTAAGTTTTATATTTTCATAAAAACATACGAATATTTAATATATTCTTAAAATTAGACCCAAATGGATAATGCTCCTCATATATTTGCTATCGCTGAAGATATGTTTAGTAATATGTTAATTGATTCAGAAAAACAATGTGTTATTATAAGTGGCGAGTCAGGTGCTGGAAAAACTGTTAGTGCAAAATTTATTATGTCATATATCGCTGAAGTAAGATAACAAAGAAAGAAATATCTAAATTTTCTATTTTTGAAAGGTTTCGGGTGGTGGTCCGAATGTTCAACGAATAAAAGATGTTATTTTACAATCAAATCCATTATTAGAAGTAAGAAAATAAGCTATGTTTAGAAATAGTTTGTTTTATTATTTTTCTTAAAGGCTTTTGGTAATGCAAAAACAATTCGAAATGATAATTCCAGTCGATTTGTATGTGGAAAATAGTCAATAAATAAATAGTTATCGATTTTATTTCTATAGGGTAAATACGTTGAAATAAATTTTTCACGTGGTGGAGAACCAGACGGTGGTCTTATTTCAAATTTTCTATTGGAGAAGGTAAGTAAAATGAAAACAATTTTTCCACAAAAACTCAATTAAATATGAATGCACTAATTTGCTTGTAGTAAAAAAAGAAAGAAACTATAAGGTTTGCATTGTTGCACGAATGTTGTCTCGCGAATTCCATTTGAAATAATTCCGTGTGAATATTTTTTGGTTATCTTCTATTTATTTGTTATAGTCACGCGTTGTTAGTCAAGCTGAGAATGAAAGAAACTTCCATATATTTTATCAACTATTATCAAACGCAGAATTCTGTCGTATGTATTTTTGTTTTAATATTAAATTATTGTTTATATATATATTTATATACATATTAGAGCAATATTCATTATCACTTAAGCTACGTTTTCAATATATTAATCATGTGGGAGCTATTAAAGTACCGAAAATTGATGATGCAAAAGAAATGCATGATACACAAGTAGATTTAATATATGATAAATTGGTTCTATTGATGATATATTCTTTTTTATAGCATGCAATGGATATAATTGGCCTACCGAAAGAAGTACAACATAATATATTTAGTTTACTAGCTGGTATACTGCATTTAGGCAACGTAAATTTTGGAGATAAAAATAATTATGCTACTGTTCTATCAGAACAAGGTAATATTTCTTTTTTTCTTGTCATTGTATGTAAGATATATTTCTGTTACAATTTTAGATTTACGAGCTCCTTGTGCATATTTTGGCATTGAAGTTGATTATTTAAAAACGAAATTAATTTCAAAACGTCTGGAATTTAAAGAACATCAAGAAAATAAACAGGTTGAACAAACATTTACTGTTCATAAGGCAATATTTACACGTGATGCATTAGCTAAATCAATTTATTCACGCATTTTTGATCATTTAATTCAAGTAAATCAAATCTTTATCATATCTATTCGATTTTTTATTGATTATTTTCGTATTAAATTAGGCAATAAATTCTGCATTTCAAACAACAAAAAAAAGTGATTTATCAGTTGGTATTCTTGATATATACGGTTTTGAAATTTTCGAACGAAATAGTTTTGAACAATTTTGTATTAATTATGTTAATGAAAAACTTCAACAAATCTTTATTGAATTAACATTAAAAAAAGAACAAGTTTGTATTTAATTGATTTTTCAATCAATATAATTTATTTGTTTTTGCATTTTCTTTAGGAAGAATATAAACGTGAAAATATTCAATGGACACCAATATCCTTTTTTAATAATATTGTTGTTTGCGATCTATTTGAAGCTAAACAACCACCTGGAATGTTTTTATTACTTGATGATATATGTGCTAGTTCACATGCAACAACAGAAAAAGTCGATCAAAGTTATTTACATGTAAATATCTAAATAGATTTTTATTATTTAGAATAAAATTTCTTTCTTTTTAGAAATTAAGTAGTTTATCAAATCAACATTTAATCGTTTCACCACCAACATTTACTGTCAAACATTATGCTGGTGCTGTTACTTATCATTCCGATCAATTCTGTGAGAAGAATCGTGATATTTTAAATATTGATTTAATTGAAATGATGCAATCGAGTACTATGTAAAATGAAAAAAAACAAATTTTCTATAATGAAAAAAGATTTTGTTTTTATGAAATTTTATAGACCATTTGTTAAACGACTTTTTCCTGAACAAACATCAACAATAAAAGCTCGACCGACAACAGTTGGCAAAAAAATTAGTTCACAAGCCAATGAACTTGTAACAAAATTAATGAGTTGTCAACCACATTGTACGTACAATTCTGATATTATTCGAGATCGATCATTAAATATTAATTAGGATCTATAAGGATAGAATATGAATGTTTTTTTCGTATAATTAAGAATCGATTAGCTTAGATGTATGAGTATAGATCAATAAACTTCAGAATTATTGATATTCCAATAGAAATCATACTACAGATTTTGACTTTTATTTTATATTACAACAAGCATTGTTGACGAAGTTTGTTATTTATTTACCTTTAGATGTTCGTTGTATTAAACCGAATGAAAATCAAGCACCTGGTGAATGGAATTCATCAAAGTAGATTTTTTATTATAAATCTAAAATGATTATATAGTCGAAAATTTTTAGTGCTATTGAACAAGTTAAATATCTGGGTCTTGTAGCTAATATTGAAGTTCGAAAAGCTGGTTTTGTTTATCGTCGTGAATTTGCAAAATTTCTAAGCAGGTAATAGAATTAACATAATTCAATTGAAATTTTTATTTGTGATTTAGGTACGCTATATTGACAAAACAAACATGGCCGAAATGGGATGGAAAAGTAACAGATGGTGTTATGCATATTGTTGATAGTATGCATCTTGATAGACGTGAAGTACAATTAGGAAATACAAAAGTATTTATTAAATCACCGGAAAGTGTAAGTATTTATTCGATTTGATTCTATTTTATTCTAATAAATAACTTTTCTAGTTGCATGTACTCGAAGATATGCGTTTACGAAAATTTGATAATTATGCACGAATTATTCAAAAAGCAATGAAACGTTTTTGTGCAGTTCGTGTTTATCAAAAACAACGTGAACAAGGTAATTATCAGTTTATCATAATTTTCATTCTTCTTGCATTTATATCTTTATTAGCTACTGATATATTGCATGGACGAAAAGAACGTAATGAACGATCACTTGATCGTGATTATGTTGGAGATTATTGTAATCTTCATCAACGACCTGATTTACAAAGATTAATTCCACGTAATGAAAAAACTGATTTTAGTTCATATTTACACAAATATGATCGACGTTTTCGTCGTCAAGGAAGATATTTTATAAGTACAAATCAAGCTTTATATATTATTGATGAAGAATGTGTATGTTAATGAATTGTTATATTTATGCGTAAAATAAATTATTTATACTTGAAATAGATCAAAGTTGGTGCTGGTGGAAAAACAAATAATGCTCCTGTTAATAAAGGCAAACAACAAGAAGGTTATATGTTAGAATATAAAATTAAACGACGTATTCCATTAGAAAATATTACTGAAATTAAAATGAGGTAAATAATATATTGAAGAAATAATGTAATATGATTTTATTTTAGTGAATATCGTGATAATTTCTTTTTGCTTTGTGTGAATAATGATTATGCTACATTATTGGAATTATCAAGTAAAACAGAGGTTGTTTCAATTATATCAAAAAATTATGCGAAAAAAACTAATCGAGCATTACCAATGACATTTGGACAAGGGTAGAGTAATTTATTTAGAATAATATAAAAAAAACGAAATATGTTCAATTTTATATTACAGTTTTGAATATACAGTTAAAAAACAAAGTTGGGTCGGTGGTGGTACACGTAGTGTGAAATTTGTTCATGGTGCTATTAGTGCTGCATCGGTAATATATATTTGAATGAGTTTAACTACAATAGCGATGATAATTTAGCTCATTCTATTATGATTGCTATTTCTGCATGTAGTAGTAAGGTTCCCGATTGTTTTCAAAAGTGCCGAGGGATCAAATTTGGCAAAAAGTGCAGCAAGTGCCGTCATATAGCGTTCTGACGCATATAACGCAGAAAATACTTCAGCTATACACTTTCTGCGGAATTTTGCTCGAAAAAAGTGTTTTTATTGGAGTTTTTGGCGGAAAATGACGAAAATAGCATAAAAACCAGGTTTCTGACCAAGTTGTCAGCAAACCTTTAAAAACTTTGACAGACAGTTTTTCGAATTTTGCGAGGGACCAGATTACCCCCCCTCTAATCGGAGTCCCTGTGTGGTAGTACTGTTTCAGCTTTAAACAAATACTGTCCTTCTGTACAAAGACTAAATTACAGAAGTCTTCATACCTAACTTTAACAGTTGGAAAAAGTCATGATCAAATTCTGTTGTATATTTCTAGCATACATGTATATAGGCTTGTTTATTATTATAGAATCAAATTGATCCAACTAAACTACGTAAAGGAGTTGAGATGCCACGTGATTATGAAGTAAAAATAAATCGTAGTTCAATGACTGTTATGATATCAAATGGTTTATCTAAAGAATCAAGTAAAATATCAAAAAATTTATTTTTATCTATCTCTTATATCGCATATTTTTTATTATAGGACCAAATAAATCGAATGCTGAGAAACCAAGTAGAGTACAAATTAAACCTCAAACTAAGTTAGTATCATTAATTTACGATACATTTTAATGATTTATATATATATAGTAATTCTTCTCGGAAGCCACCAGCTAAACCTCCAAGGCCAATAGCTGCAAAACCATCAAAACAACAAAAGAAACTTCGTGCATTATATGATTTTGAAGCACGATCTGCTGATGAACTTACATTTCAAGCTGATAATGAATTATTTCTTATTGATAATAGTGGTACGCATTAATTGCTTAAGAAAACTTTCATTTTCTTATATTTCCCTCTCTCTCTTTAGATGAAACTTGGTGGAAAGCTGAACTTGATGGGAAAACAGGTAGATATAATTGTATATTTAAACAAAAAAATTATAACTAATTTCGTTTCATATTCAGGTGTTGTACCATCAAATTATGTTGAAGTTATTATTTGATTATTTTATTGCAATAGAAACATTTATTTACAGTGACTAATTACTGCTTGTGTTTTTCTTTTTCTTCATTATATCTGTATTCATTTTGTATTCTTTTTATGCACTTTATGATCTAAACTAGTGTGTGTATGTGTTTTTCTCTTTTCTTATGTAAACTGGGTTTTTCTTTCTCTCTTTGAATGTCCACTTCTAAACAGATTAATTTTGTCTTTATTTTTGTATATGATTGATAATACTCATTTCATTATTTGACCAAGTTATTATACATTCCGTATTTGATTTTTAATAAGCGAAAAAAAAAAGAAAAACTTGTGACATTTAACTTCTAGATGTCGACAATAAATTCAGAATCAATAACAACATCAACTGTAATTAAGAATGAAGAGAAAAAAAAAGATTTTGAACTTTCATTTTTTGAAAAGAAATATATATTTTATTTAGCGAACACCAGTTGTAATCATTAAGCCTATTCTTTATGGTAATACAGCAAAACATCTAGGTACGAAACGAGATACTGATGGACATACACATAAATGGTCAGTCTATGTTCGATCATATAATAATGATGATATATCAACTTATGTAAGTAAAGTACAATTTCGTTTACATGAAACATATCCAAATCATTCAAGAGGTAATTAATAATAAGTAATGTTAGTTATATAAATAAATCTTTTTTTTTTGTTTTTCAGTGATTTCACAAGCACCATTTGAAGTTGAAGAAAGTGGTTGGGGTGAATTTGAAACACAAATTACTATTTATTTTGCTGATCCAAATGAGAAACCAGTAATAATTGATATATTTAAATTGAATTGAATTATTTCATTTATATTTGTTCAGGTCATATTTTATCATCATTTAAAATTATTTTCAACAGATCCAGATGTAGTAGCCGGTACAAAAGCATTAGTCAATGAAAATTATGATGAATTGGTAAAGTCAATTATGAATTTGAAAAACTATGTTATTTTTTTTTCAATAGATTTTTCAAGAACCATCTGATTTATTAGTTCGTCTTCTCAATTGTGCTAAATCACTTGCACCACCAACAGATGAGAATTTAGCAACTGAAAAAGAATGTATGTTATAAAAAAAATTGATTGATATCGATTAATCATAAATGAAACATTATTTTAGATGCTGTAAAAAAAGCTGATACAATAGCACGTATAAAAACTGCTCGTCAACGCGTACGAAGTGAAATTCAAGATTTAACTGAACGTCTTCGTATTACTCAAGAAAATATAAAACGTATTCGACAACGTTCAGCAGATCATGGCTCTTCTACGAATTTATTGAATACATCTACACATGAAAATATTAAACGTGAAATAGTTGATTGAATGTGGAAAGAAAGAAAGAATGACTGAATATAATTTCCTTCGTTTTCTTTGTATATAATGTAAAGACATTTTTTTTCTTAATAAATGTAGACAGATATGATCAAGAATATAATACTGAAAATAGACATACAGCTATTAAATAAATTGACGCTTACTCGCCGAAAATCGATCATAGTTCAGGTACGTTCAAATGTAGATGGGTGTTTAATTCTAAAAAACCTCTTACAGGCGTTGCATCTTGATATGCTCTTTCAAAATAAAAACAAAACAGGTGCGTATAGAGATCATGGAGATGCGTGATTGAAAAAGTGTAAACTGATAAAAAAAAATTAACTTCAGAAGCAAAGCATTGGATGATATTTTATATTATTTCTGTAATATGTCGAGAGGCCTATCTTCTCATGCATTAAATTCGGTTGCGAAATACTTTATAGACAAAAAGGACTTTTGTTAAAGTTCCAATAAATGTATAGATTTTGAAAGCTAACGATTAAGATCCTATAATTGTAGTAGATACTATTATAGTGATTTAAATTATATAGAAACATGCAAAAATAATTCTTCGACATACTATATAAACTTTTCACCCTTCACATCTGTAATAGTGCATGCGATATCATATATATATGTATTGTTTACATTCTCTTTTTTTTTAGTACATGAAACCGACATGTTAACACCTGGATGGTGCGTCTAGAGAATTACATCATAGATATAGATAGTAATGATGTATAAATATATCATTTTATTTTATACGAATAATAGACATTTTATTTGTGAATAAGAAGAATGAAAGTGATTATATTTCTAACTGTTACTTTTATTTTTACTATTATTAATGGTCAACAACATAATATTCCTCAACATCAAGAAACATTTTTTCATGAAGATCACTTGAATAACATATTGGACTCTCATGATAATGATAATAATGATCATGGAATTGATTTTGAACGACACATCTCTATTCCATATCCACAATGTTTTAGAAATAAATTAGCTTCATCATTTCTTAAATCAGACGTACTTGAACATATATTTAAAATAAAACTTGAAGAAGAAGACGCAAAATTGACAAAAGAACATGAAAGAAATCTTGAATTACACAACGGTTTGTATTAAATTAAATTAATTTAATAATATTTTAATTTTATTTATGATACATTCAGATGATATTTTGGATTTCGAAGAAATGCAATTACGATCTGATGCTCACAATGGTGCATTACTTGCTCGTTCTGCAACAAAAGCAGCTGATGAACTTATCTATCAGTATTTTAAATAGTTCTTCATTTTCTTTTTCTAATTTTACTTTTTTTAGACTTTCATGTATAACAAATGCATCAATAACTCCTAATTTGTAAACAAAAATAGATTGAAAAATATGCTTATTTTTTATTCATACTTTTTTTTAGAGATAATTTTCTAAAAACAATTCAATTACCATCTATGTTTTGTGCATATCAGTCAAATCCAAGTTGTGAAGGATTAACAAATTATCGAACAGTAACTGGTGTATGCAATAGTCTTTCACGTCCTTATCGAGGAAGTTCACAAACTGCATATGGAAGATTATTACCTCCAGTTTATGATGATGGTATTATTATTATTATTAAGAAATCGAATTCTTCATCATATATTTATTTATTTTCTAAGGTTTGAGATTACCACGATCAGAATCTGTTGTAGGTGGTTCTTTACCACCATGTCGTCAAGTCAGTTTAGCTTTTGGTTCAAAACCCACGTTTGATTCTGCTATTAATAATCTTTGGGTTACTTATGGACAATTTCTTGTTCATGATTTAACATTTGCAACACCTGTAACTGATTCTGGACGAACACCAATAACATCTTGTAATTGTGATTCAAAAGATACGGATATGTGTAATGTCATTGATATTGCTCCTAATGATCCGTTTATGGCTGGACAAAGATGTGTAGCTGTACCAGCAACAGCTCAAGCATTTTCCGATCAAATTTGTGCACTTGGTGTCAAAGAACAGGTGAATGGAAATTCGCATTACGTTGATTTATCTGTCACATATGGAAGTACAAGAAGAACAGCTGCTTCTATACGAGTTGGTACAGAGGGATTAATGAAAACAACACTAAAACGTGAATTTAAATATGATTTACCACCTGGTCAACGAGAAGGAAGATCATGTGTCGATTCAACTGAAACAAATAAATGTTTTGCTGGTGGTAAGTTATTATACATTTGATTTGTTCTTTTTCATTAACGACTAGACTAATAAAAATAATAATGATTATTATTTCTTTAAAGGTGATTCACGTTTGATGGAAAATCCAATTTTATCTGGTGTTCAAGCCCAATGGTTACGTATACATAATGAATTTGCTCGTGAACTTAATCGTATACGTCCTGATTGGAATTCAAATGATAATACTTTATATGAAGAATCGAAAAAAATTGCAACAGCTCTTCATCAACATTATACTTATAATGAATGGTTACCAATTCTTATTGGTAAAACAGCAACAGCACAGTATCTTGGTGATAAACATCTTCATACTGAATATAATCCATCAGTACGGAAAAAAACTTTGGAACTAAACCTTTTTGTTTCGTATTACGAACATTTTGTTTTTGTCTAGATGCCTGGAGTTGTATTCAATGAAGTAGCTGCAGCTGTATTACGTTTACATACATTTGTTCGTGATTTAATTAGTCGTTGTAAACCAAATGGAGATTTAATTGATCAACTTTGGTTTAATGAAGTTGCTTCAAAATGCAAATTTGCATATGAGTAAAGTGAAAATTTTCATTTGAAAAAAATCATTCCAAAAATTTCTCTTTCGTAGTGTAAAAACTAATGGTTTAGATTCATTTTTATGTGGTGCATTAGTTGATTTCAGTTTTGCTGCTGATACAAATTATGCTCAACAAATTCATCATCGATTATTTGAATCAACAAATCATCAAGGTGAATTACGACGTAGTGATTTAGTAGCTCTGAATATTTGTCGAGGACGTCAACATGGTTTACCAGGTTATAATGCTTATCGACAACTTTGTGGTTTTCGACTTGCAAATCGTTTCCAAGATTTTTCTGATACTATGAGTCCTCAATCAATTGAAACGATGCAGACGCTTTATAAGTAATATATTTCATATTGAATGAAAAGATAACTCACAATAGTTCGATGATGAGACATGAATTAATTATTTTTCTAGACATCCTGATGATGTTGATCTCTTTGCTGGTCTTAATCATGAAACACATACGCACGATGCTCTAGTAGGTCCAGTTTCTGTTTGTCTTATCGGTATACAATTTAAACATCTTAAATATGGTGATCGATTCTTTTACACTCATCATGGTGAATTTACAAAAGGTAGGATTGATAAGTATCAATGAATATTAATAGATTTTATTTATTTTCTTTTAGCTCAATTACATTCCATTAAGAACTATTCATATCGATGTTTTCTTTGTCACACAGTAGATATTGAACAAGTTGCTCGCAATCCATTTCAACCACCAAATGATATTACGTAAGTATTATTTCATTTGAATTAATATTTTAATCTATATTAGCATATTTTAGTAATCCATTAGAATCGTGTAGTACGTGTTCTATTTTTGATTTTGGTCCATGGCATATGCCTAAGGCCAGTTAATTATGTTTTTTTCTTCTTTGTTAATTTTATTTGTTTAAGTCTATAAAAAACAGTTGATTTCATCTGTTTGATTTTATTATTTTACAAAAAATAAAAAGCAGAAAAATAAAAGATATTTTTCCTTTCTTATGTTTTTCGACGAGTCGCATGACAATAAAGAACAACTTGAATATATTTATCCGTTTTAATTTCTTTTCGTGTAGTATTATCACCATGTGATTTAGCATTTGGATCAACAATAATTATTTTTCTATCACGTTTACTTTTAAATAATAAACCATCAAGATTATCTTGTATTAATTGAAAATTAGGTGTATTATTTGAACAACATGTTTGATTTTCCCAATTATAATAACTAAAAATCAACAGTTAAGTCAAATCGATTAGATTTATTTTTCTATACCTAAGATCAGTTGGTTTTGGTAATAATTTTTTCTTTCCAGCAAAATATACTTCAAAATCTTCGGATTTTAAACGATGAGCATAATCAATATAACCAGATATTTCTTGATGACGAGAGTTTTTATCACGAATAAAAATAATTGTCTGAAAAAGGAAGAACTGTTTTTTACATAAAAAATATATAAATATTATTTACTGTCATTTTTCCTGTTCGATTCGCTTCTTCAGTATCAGCAAGTTCACGTAATAATGGTTCAGTTATTTCTTTATTGGCACTGGCTAATTTTCTATGTAAACAAAAAATATTGATACAGATAATAAAATCGATTAATATCGCTAGTTCTTAAACTGTCTATTATGTGATAATGAAATACATCTGATTTTTTAAATTTCGATACTTAATTTCATTAGTCTAATTAGTTTACGAAAACATACGGTGCTTGTATACGTCGTGAAAGAAGTTGCTGTTCAGCAGCTGCTTTTCGTGCATAAAATTCTTCTCGTTTAATGACTTCTCCACTACCACGATAGCCAAGTTCGACAAGTTGTCGAGCTAATTCTTCATCCTAATATATAAAAATAAATTATTGATTATTTGATTTCTTTTTTCGTATTCAATATTTCTTTATACTTCAAGATAACTAAGATCTAAACGAGTGACTTGTGAATCAAGAAATTCTTCATATGTTGCATATTTTGTAACAATATCAACAGCTGCCGATAAATCATCTTCCATTATCGAATATAATCGAAATCAATAAAAAATAAACTTATATCTAAAAACATTCATACATAAGTCTGATAATATATGAAAGTCTACATTTTATTTATAATTATTTCATGTCTAATACATTCAATCACAACATTATCAATGATGTTACTATGGAAATAACTATTTAAATGAATAGATAATAAAAATTTTTATTTAATAAGATTATATTTTTGTATTAGAGAATATAGAAGTTCTAGAAATTATTATAATATCAATCAGAGAATAAAAGCGTCCTCTGTCTTATTTGTCTTTCTATGGTCAAATAGCTCAACATGAATGTAAGAGGAAATGCATTGCCGTGTTACAAAAAATCATGTTTGTTTGAACTACAAATACCATTTCTTTTATTTTTTTTCTTGTATCTAAGAATTAGATATTCAATTCCATTCTTTGTTTTTTAAATGTTCTTTTCTTTTAAGACTTTTTTGACTGTGTTTGACATCCTTCAATTATCAGGTCTTCGTGCCTATCCCAATCCAATATTCCCCTCTTCTCAAAAACTAAAATGACATCATCCGATGATGATTATGGTCAAGCATCAAGTAATAATAACAATAATAATAGTATTAGCGTAACTAGTGGAACTCAAAATAATAATTATACTCGACGTATGAATAGCAACAGCAGTAATCCTTATTCATCATCAACCGGTATTGAAATACGTATATTAATGACTTCTCGTGATGCTGGAGCAGTTATTGGTATAGACATAAATTTCTTTTTACTTATTTCGATTAATAAATTTTTTCTTTAGGCAAAGGTGGTTCATCAATACAAAAACTTCGTGCTGATCATCCACGTACAATAATTCAAGTACCTGATTGTGCATCACCTGAACGTGTATTAATTATAAGTGGTGAACAAGAACAATGTTTTGATGCATTACTACAAATTATTCCAGCTTTAACGGATAGTTCACGTCTTTCATCATTTAATCGACGACGTAATTTAAATACTGGAGCAGGAGGAATAGGAGCAAATTCAGATCAAAATCAATCGACGAATGATAATCAAACAACAGGCGATATACCATCAGAAATTCGAATACTTGTTCATCAAATTTATTGTGGAGCTATTATTGGTAAAGGTGGACAACATGTTAAAGAATTAAGACAAACATATAATCTTGATATAAAAGTATTCTCACAATGTTGTCCGCTAAGTCATGAAAGAATTATTTCATTACGTGGAAAAATAGATGATATTATTGAATGTATTAAAGTAAATATTCAAAAAGATCAAAATTAAAAGAATTATTATGTTGTTCTTTTTTCTTCTTCTTAGCACATCTATTCATTAATGAGTTCATCATCTCAACAACCAAGAGGTCCACCATTAATTCAATATGATCCACATAACTTTGATATTTATACAGTGAATGAATATGGTTAGATTTTCTTTTTAAAATTAATATTTTCGAAAAAAAATTTATTTTTAGGTGGTTTTCAACCGCCAGGTGGTATTGATAATCGTATTGGATATAATCCACGAGGAGGATTTCCACCTCCTGGACCAAGTGGTGGAATGTATCCTATTCGACCTTTACCTCCTCTTGTCGATATTCCGTATGGTGGTGGACCAGGTTTAGGTGCTCGATATCCCAATCCTGCATTACTTACTTCAACACGGGTAACTTATATGTTATTATTTTTATCTAGTAATTATTCTTTTGTATTTTTTTCTCTAGGTGACTTTACCAAATGAGCTTGTCGGCGCAATTATTGGCCCACGTGGAGCAAAAATTCAACAGATACGTCAAACAACAAATGCTAATATTATAATTGATGATCAACCAATTCCTACTGGTCTTAGTGGTGGTGGTGATCGCATAATAACAATTGAAGGAACACCAGAGCAAATCAGTCGTGCACAAGCTCTTCTTCAACAAGCTGTTCGTCAATCTGGTCTTTGGCGAAATTGATCCCCGTTGTTGTTTTATTATTCATATGTGCACTAAATTTTCAAACATGTTTTTTCTCATCACTTTTTGTTTGTTTTTGTGTGTGTGTGTGTGTGTGTGTGCGTACTGCTTTTCTTATTTTTTATTCATTTCGTGTATACAGTAGGATATTGATTGATTGACGCTTCTCTTTTTTTGTCATTTGTTTCGTGTATGTGTCACTTTTTTCTTTATCTCTTCTCTCGGTTTTTATATAGATTTCACTCAGATCTATAACATATAATTTTTTGTTTTGTATACATAATGATAAAACAAAAAATAGGATAGAATTGGTTTGTGAAAATATTGTTTTTTGATTTAAACTTTTAAGAGAAAACACAATAAGCAATTATTTGGCTGATATTTATCTTATTTTACAAAATTAATTGTATCATCTCATTCGTTTTAAATCTATTTTCATCAACAATATAACTTGTATGAGAGAAAAACAAAAGACATTTGGTAATGAATTCTATATTTAGCATTACATTATGAAGATTGGAAAAATTCTGTGAAAAGTAAAGAAAATAAGAATATTCATATTTTTGGTTATTCAACAAGAAAAATAATATTTATTAATAAATCTAATTAACTCTTGCATAAATATTATCTTTTTACAGAAGAAATGCTGTGACGTATTAGTTTTCTTTTTTTATGAAAATAATTTATTATTATTGAATGTTTAACTTAAAATTTATGCATATTCCCCAGGATAAAAGTCCAATTATTTCTCATAAGTTTGTTATGTGCGTATTATTTTTTAATTAGTGAAATAATTTCACGCCATGACTACGTGTATCTAGAAAAATAAACATTATATTCTATGAAAAATAACTATCACAGTCAAACTATGCTGATAACTTTCATCATAATAATAAAAATATGTTATTGAAGAATAATATTATTTATCTTAAATAGTAACATTCAATTGATTTGAAAGATTATCTCAGATGTGTCAAAATTTTATATCTTAACTTATATGTCATTGTTTATTTCGTGTAGATGGAATTTGATTTTTACTAAAATTTTATCACGTTCTTTCCATTACATAAAAGAGTGGGCATATGAGAAATAAATTATTATCTACTAGTCCTATATTTTTAAATACATGTACTAGAATGAAATATAACTAACATATTTTGTCATTAAAAAAGAAGAATTGCACTCAATCGGTACTTTTGATTTGATTCGATTTTTGTTGATATACATCGAATAGATATTATATTTATGCACATATGTATACTTAATGTAATCGATTATAATGATTTCACCTTGAGGATGTAATTGCAGCAGGTGTATAACTGGTATATCTTCCTCATATTATTCCCGCTCACGGTCGATTGGTTTTATTTAATAAATACATAACTTTATCTTCATCATCATCGTACTTTTTCAACACATAAATACATAGTGCATCTATAACGAAAGAATACCACAAAAACAAATACGAATACATAGAAATTTGATTTCCTATACAATCATTAAATAATGTATCATCGATTATCTCAATTGGTTATATTAGGATGTTTTATGATTTATTTTACTGAATCAAGTTTAACATTTAATGGAACAACTACGAATAAAATTTTTTGTTATTCATGTAAAGGTAGTCTTTGTGAAACAATTTTAAATGAAGAAGATAATGTAATTACGTGCAATAAACATACGCAATTATGTTGGGTAAATATTTATATTATTAGAAAGAGAAAAAACCAAATATAAATTTATTTTATTTTATTTTATAAGTCTGGTTTTGTTGATCAACAACCATATCGAACATGTGCAAGTCGTTATTGTACACCGAATGGTATTTCAATGGATAGTGATATTCGCATTGAAGCATGTTGTCATACTAGTTTATGCAATTCTGTTCCACGTAAATATATTTTCTTTTTAAATGAATCGAAGTTTTTTTCTAAATTTCATTTAATAGTTTCTTGGTCGATATGGAGTAAATGGTACAAAAGAAATCCAACCCAAAGTCCTGAACTAAAAACTTCTGAACCAACAAAAGCAACTACGAAACAAACAACAACAATAAAAACTATTCAAGTAACAACTCCTGTTCCACCCAAATTATATATTGTCAATGAAATAGTTAATAATGGAGAAACTCCATTAATATATAGAGATGAAATTAATGAAAAAGGTGATACACTTTTGTCTAAATTACAATTGAATGCAAGTAATCCCGATACTTTTGGTATTCAGTGGGATCGTGTACCATATGATACAGGCTTCAGTAATCGTATTGTATCATTGAGTAAACTAGTAATTCTTCTTTTACCAATTTTGTTAGTTTTATTATTTTAAATTAATTTTGTTTGTATTTTTCTTTCTAAATCCTATGTCATTATATTTATAAAATCGTCATATGTGGTGTTAATGACAATAATTACAAGATTTATCTTTTTACAGTTATGACAGTTACGAATAATATTATTTTTTTGAAAAATGATACTTGTAAAGGATGATTTATTGAATAAAGAAAAAATGATTGGTATATTCAAATCAGATTTATCAGTGATCAAGATGGATGAATATATAACTAATAACTTTAGTAGAAACGGTATAATTTTACATACATTATGATAATACCATGGACACCTGAATAAAGATTTAGCATCTTCAGCGTGAAATCAATTTCTCAAGAAAACCTACACAAAAATAAAATAGAGTATTGTTAGGATAATAAATAAGAACCAAGCCATAAATGGATAAAATAAAGATTTCGAACAAATTTTTTTCTTTACTACAGATTTTTTATCATGATTTTCTGATAATGATATATGAGAATTAGTCTCATTCATTAACTGTTGTGTTAATAATGGTACTGGCGATTGAATCGGTTGCTGTGATAATAAAGATGGTATTTTATTCATAAAACTTATTATTGAGAGTTTTTCTAGAACGAGATTATTTCATTGAGCGATCATCGTCGTATGATTAATATCACTAGACGCCATTTTGATTTATTGTTACTAAGGAAGCATATAGAGGTCAGGTTTAAAAGAGAAATTTACACTGCTGCATTTTTTCACTTAGACGACAATTAAAAAGTTTATTGGATAGAATAGACTGGATATTTGACACCGAAAAAAAGTATGTCTCCATAACAACAAGAAGAGAAATGGAAGATGACTACTGTTAAAAGGTAGCACTGAAGCCTATGCATTAATAAAAAAGGTGTAGATAAGTGATTGATAAATCAAAATATTATGACATAATTTTTAAAAACAATGAGTTACATATCTATTCAATTTTTCAAATAAACGTTTTCATTTTAACAGAAAGAAAACATAATATATATTTTTTTCTATTTCTCTTTCGAGAGTTGAAGCAAACTAAGTGCCTTCATTTTTTTTCTCTCTACAAATATGTAATATTTGCAAATGAGATTCTTTTTTTTGCTTAAGAGAAATGGATAGTGAAACGAATGGTCGTGGAAGCCGTAACAGCAAACATTCTGATTCGAACGATTCACCGTTGATGTCGCACGATTCAGCATTCTCAAGAGAAACATTAAATTCGATTGAATCCGATGATGAAAATACAAACAATATCAATACACCATCTCCAACACGTTCAAAAAGTATTGATGGTCGTATAAGTCGAATAAATTCCACAGTACCACCGTTTAGTACAACTGCAACAAGCGTCGATCGTTTTAAACATGGGATACGATATATAACTGATGGATTTATTCGTAAAATTAGTAAACAAAACAATGTTACTCGTATTCGTTCTTTAAATTTTAGTAATTTACGTGATAAAAAAATTCGTTATATAGAAAATCTTCAAACATTAATTAATTTAGAAAATCTTGATTTATCAAATAATCTTATTGAAAAAATTGATGGATTAAAAACATTAAAAAAACTTAAATATTTATCATTTGGAAATAATTTTATAAATACATTGACGAATTTAGAAGAATTATCTCGATTAGAACATCTTGATCTTCGTCAAAATCAAATAGATACTATACCAATATGGTTTGGAAGAAAATTAACATCATTAAAAATTTTAAATCTAGCAAATAATCATATAGCATCATTTGATCAAATAGCACGTTTACGTACATTATATGAATTACGTGAACTTTACCTACAAGGAAATGGTATTGATAAAAATGAACATTATCGTTTACTTGTTATATCATATGTACCAAGTTTAATAAAACTTGATGGACTCGATATTACTGAAGATGAACGAAAACAAGCTAAAGAACAGTATGAATATAAGACAAGAAAAAGATTTTTATTTAATATTGATTTTCATATATTGTAGATTTATTCAACAAGAAGTACAAAATTTACTTCATGAACTTGAACGTCGTGATAATGAATGTCGACGTTTAAGTACACAAGCAACAAATAGTGAACAAAAATTAGAAAAAACAAGTGATAAACTTCAATCAATTGAAAGTAAAAGTATAACACAAGCAAAAGAAATTAAAGTGAGTTATTTGAATAACTAAAGAAGAGTTAGCATTGACTTTTTCTCTAACAAAAAGATCTAAGAATTGAAATGGATTATTTAAATTTTAATTGAACTATAACAAAAATCTTGTTCACCCTCATTTTATTATGTAAGATCAATGCTTGCATTGCTAGACTCACCATTAAATACTCAATAATTTTATATAATACTCACAGATATTTTGTGTACATTAATAGTTCTATTAACATGTCTTATATATTTATAAAGATCATCTATTCAGTGTTTTATCCAGTGGGTGGACTGAGTGGGCGGCGCCCACCCAAAATATGAGACTTAGACAAAGCACTGTTAGGTACGCGCCCGCCTAGAATTTTCGTTTCGCCCACTCGGCAGTTCGATTCGCACATCCGGAAAAAGAAACCTGGAGAAAACACTGAATCTATTGTCTTCTTTGAATTGAAAATCTTTGTATAATAAATATTTTGTTTTGTTTTTCAGGAATTACAAGAAAGATTAAATGCTAGTGAAGAACTTCTTCAACGTAAAACTTCGTTATTACATCAATCATGTGAAAAACAATGTAAACTCGAACAAGAATTAGCTTTTTATAAAATTGATTTAAAATTCGACAGACTTGGTAATAATTCTTTTTCTAAAAATAAAGTTCAATTTAACTGTTTGTTTTTTGTTTAGATTTTTCGACACATTTAAATCGAAGGAATAGTTTAAATCAAAGGACTACAGATGATAGTCCTTTCATAACAAACGATTTTATAGGAGATGAAGAAGAAGCGAAATTAATACATGACGATGAACGACAACGATCTGAAAGGTAATTAAACAATAGATTTATTTATTTAAATTTAATGATGAATTCCTTTTATAGCACAACCCATTGGCAATTCGCTGAAGTTCAACGAATATTAGGTAATGCACCAGATGGAAAGCTTCTTCATACTGGTATGATAGACACACTTTTTTTATTTTGACGAATCTTGTTTTTTCTTTGTTTTCTATATTAAAAGAGGATGAAAAAATTTATAATGAAAAACTATTACAATTAGCTTTTAATGTTAGTCAATTAACATCTTTAAGAGCTAAACAACATATTATTGAAGAACGTATACAAAGTGCAACACAACGAAATGAATCCCATGCTGTTATCGAAGTATATTTATCTATTTTTAAATATTTTTTGAAATTTTTTCTTTCTCTTAAGCATCTTTCGGATGATTTGAATAATTTACAAAGTGAAATTATGAATAAAATTAGTGATGTCCAAGAACTTAAACTTGGTCTTAGTGATCTTCGTAGTGATCAAGGAGTTGGATTAGATATGGATTTAGAACAAGTTACTATTGAATTAAAACTTGATGAAGTAGTCCGACAACATATTGCAAAATTTAAATCCGAATCAACTAAACAATCAAAAGAATATGAAGTTGTTAATGAAACAACACCATTTGAACAAAATTCAACTGAAGTTATTTCATCATCAGGTATAAAAATAAACTTTTTTTTTCTTTTCATCAATTTGATCATTTATGTTTATATTGAAAATATCCGTTGGTGATTGACTTCGTTTTTTTTTATGTATATTCAGTATTCGATGAGTACCCTTTTTTTTCTTTCGAAAGTTAGCAAGTGCATAAAATAATCGTAGACACTTATTTTATATTTCAATGTGCACGCAATGCCAATGCTATTGTTTAATCAAAAGTATGATTTAATCATACAATCTAATTCGATTTTGTTTTATATTTCATCTCTCTTATCTCATCATACCGTAATGATACCTTTTCTCTCTCTCTCTCTCTCTCATCAATTTGTTCTTTTCACACATCAATACCAAAAGTTCAATGTATATATAGAGTTATTCTTTACAACTCTACAGTGCTAGTAGACAATAGAGAAAAGGTGCAATTATTTTGTAAATCAAGGTTATTTTTTTCCTCTCTCACTCTCATTTATTGTTATAAGAGTACGTAATGCTGTATATATATAAATGTACACATAGAAATAGGATTGATTAAAATACCTGAAGTTTATATAATGAATAAAATTTTTTGTAAATTTATATTCTGATTTTAGGTGTATCAGTACATGATCAATCTAGTGTAACAACACGTATCCAATTACTTGAAATAGCTTTAGAAGCTAATGTTGAACAACTTCGTACAAAAGAAATAAGTGAACAAGAAGCACAGAATAAAGTAATTGAATTAAAAACTGCACTTCAACGTGAACAAAATCAAGCACATGAACGTATTTGTCATATTGAAGAAATGGCTGAACGTGAAAAACAACGAATATTAAAACATCTAGAAGATGAGAAACATTTTACACGTGATATTATTGAAAAATCAGAAACAATGATTGACCAGCTTAAACGTGAATTAAGTAGTGAACGTAAACGTAAAACTGACGATCAAAAAACGCATGATGCTTTAAGAGATATTTATAAAAAAATAGGACCAAGTCAAGGTAAAACATTAACAAAGTTAAATAATAATGCAACATTTACAAAAGACAGCACTGAAGAAATAGTTGGTGGTAGTGGTGATGATGATGGTGATACAACAGTATATCATAAAGATGATCCGTTTTTTGCTTCAACACCACGTGATCGTTCTTTATTAACTGAAGGCAACGAAAGTTCAGATTCTAATGCACTTCAACGTCAACTTGAAGAACAACTTCGAGATGATAACGATGAATCTTTATTAATTGATCAACAAAGTGAAACAAATAAGTCAATAGGAAGATCTCGTTCATGTTTACCACCATCACCTAAACGACGAACAAATAAAAACTCGTTATCAAGAACATCATCAGCATCGGATAAAATTCAATCATCGATTTCAAAAACAGACTCAATATCGAATGCGGAAGGTAATTTTCCAGAATATATTATTTCTATATACAAGTATTAATTCTCAATAGTATTTTGTAATGAGTATCTAAAGAAATGACTAGTTTAGTTATTAAATTGATCCTTTCTCAGAGATATACTTCACAATTTTCAGATATTTTATAATTCAAGTCAATAAAAATCTTTTTTCTTGTTGTTTAAAATAATAATTGAAATGTCTTTACTATTATTTTTTTAATACAGTATAAATGTCAAATACAACTGACAAAAATGTAGGTATAATATTTTTTCGGGGAGCAGGAAAAAAGAGAACAAGTTGCTATAAAATTGCTTTGCTCATATTATATTTATATGCTAATAATAAAGATAGCAGCAATATATATTTAATCTTTTATAAATTATTCTTGTTGTTTTCTTCTAATAGATGACGATGATAATGATTTACTTTTTCGTCTTCATGGTTATATTAAAGCTGGTCAAGCGAATATATCTGGTTTAGGTGATCTTGCACGTCTAACAGTAAATGATTCAGGATATTCAAGTCAACAAACAGGACGAGAAACAAGTATTGCAAATGATAAATTACAATCTCTTCTTTCTACTCAACCATTTTCTTCATCTAATAAATGTTTCATTGATCCAAATCTATTTAATCGTGAATATACAGTTGGAGTTATTACAACAAATTCTGATCAACAACAACGTTATTATGATCAATCAAAAGTCGGTAATGTTACATTATATCCAACACCAGATGGCTATATTCTTGGACCACATTCAATAACTGTTCCACAAGAAAGATTATCTTCGTATACAAATCCATCTCCATCACATTCGTTAACACATACGGATTCTCAATATTTTGCATATGTTAATATTCCACCAGATGCACTTTCATCAAATCGTCCAGCAGCAACACGAAATAAACGTGATGAAGTACGTTTACAAGGACCAGTTATACTTCGTCATGATACAATCTCGAAATCTGAAGATGTTTCTCCAGTATCCGTTAAAGTTCGTAGTTTAAAATTTCCTGATGTTGACCAAAGTCCAACGACTGATTCGAATTTAATTCGTCGAGAAATTGATCGAACATCAGATGAACTTGATTATTTAAAATTAAAATTACAACGTACAGAAAATGATTTACCACATAATAATCAATTACATTTATTAAAACATACATTAGAACATCAAACAAGAGGTAAATACTCTTATATATAGAATAATTATTTTTTATTATCAAAAATTTTAATATTTAGAAATTGAACGTGTAAGAATAATTCATCGAGAAATATTAAATAGTGGTCGTGATAGTGAAGCAAATCTTCTTGATTTATGTCAACAAGTTCAACGTATACAACGAGATGTACATGAACATCTAAGTCCATCACTTTTACGTCTAATAGATGAATCTTCACGAATAAATCCGGGTAAATTAATACCATTATCATCAGGTGATGGTCACTGGTTATGTACTGTTCCACGACATGCTGATCTTGAACAGATAATAGCTGATCTTGAAGCAAAACTTGATGAACAACGACGAGAAATAACTGATACAAAATATGAAAATCGTCGATTGGAACGATCATTAGTTAGAAAATCGGTTAGAATTGAGGGTCTTGATTTAGCAGCAGCACATAAACGATCACGATCTATTGCTGATTTAACTGAAAGAGAAAGTCTTCAGGTAGAATATCTTTTGTAGAAATATATAAGTTTTGAATTTCAAATTAGGATGATATTTTTGTCTTGGAACAACAACTTCTTCGAAAACAACGTGAAATTGCAATTTCACAAGAACAATTAAGAGAAATGACATCATTATCTCAAAATGTTAGTTGAAAAAAAATTTTTTTATATAACTACTTTTTTCTATTAGGTTGTTCATGATTTAAAAACTGCTCGTCAACATCAAACAATTGCAAAACGTGAAACAAAAGGTCTTCAACAAAAAATCGAAATATTAACTCGAAAATTATATAAATTAACAAATGATACAAAACGAGCAGAAGAAACTCTTACAAAAACATCAATGAATATTCAATTAATGGATAAAGAAGAAACAAAATTAGACAAAGTTTGTATAGATTATAATTCAATTCTTCATCATTTTTTTTCCTCTTCTTCTATAGATAATTGATGAAAAACGAGCTTTATCAATTGTTCTTGATGAACAACTTTATGCATCATTTAATTCATTTAATTCTCTTATCAATTCATCTATGAAATGTTTACAAGAATTAACATCAGCAACAACTGAAGATGAATTACAATTCAATTCATTACCAGCACCTTCATCACAAATAAATTCAACATCATCAAATATACCACCAGAAGAAATGCAACGACAAATTTCACATATGATCTCAGAAAATAGTCGTATACTTTCACGCTATCATACAATGTTACAACAACAAAAACAAAAATCAACAACATTAAAAAATGAATTAACAGAAAAAGAAACAACTTTAGCACATATTAAATCTGAATTAGATGCTTACAATGAACAATTACGAAAAAATGCTCAAGAACTTTTACAGGTAATTGGAGATTAATGGGGATTTCTAAGCAACATTATTTTATTCGAGATAAACTAAAGAGATGTTGATTTACCATTGTGAATGGTATTGCGCAGTACTAATGAGTAGACCGCACTATTAGGATTCGTATGTATGGTTTCATTCAGAGATGAGCACAGGGCAGGATGTGCGACGCATCCTATCCGCTAGAGCCCTACGGTTCCATTTTCGGTTACTAAAATCTGTTTTGGGAACCGGTGGTTCTACGATGAATACAAAGTATTAAAACATAGATTTTTCAGAAATTTCTATATTTCATTCTCAAGATTGGTGACGTTTATTATTTCATTAAAAGAGCAATACGCTCCAAAGATACTCGCAGTGTACCGTTACAGCTATTATAAACTGCAGACTAAAGATTATGTTGTACCTGAAGAGTGTTTTAGTTACCATTAAAAATATTTCCGGTTCCACCGGCTCCGGTTTTGGATAGCAGAAGCTGAAAAAGTCTGATATCGATTTGGTTTTTGGTTCTATTCTGTTCGGAACCGCTGGGCTTTACTATCCGCAATGCGTGATGGATGGGTCGGAGCGGCAGGCAAGACAGAATGTAAAAGTTCGTCCTACGCTCACCTCTAATTCAGATTCAAGGAGGAAGAAGCTAAATCCGGATTTCCGAAGACTCCAAAAAACCGTTTTGGATTCCATATTCCACTCTGTCCCCTTGTTCAAATCACAAACCCAAGTTCAAATAATAGGAAATATCTTGCTCATTAGATTATTGAATCTCTAAACATCTTAAACAGAATTTTAATGTTAAAGATATCTTAAATGACATTAGCAAATTTTCTGTCTATTATCTAGGATAAAAATGTTTTGGAAGAATTAGAACGTGTTAAAGAATTAAAAGCCGATAAAGTATCTGAACTTGAACGTCTCATTGAACGTCGTCAAACACAAGAAAAACATGCACAAAAAGAATTAGAACAAATAACAAATGAACAACAACGTTTAAAAAAACAATATAAAGATGGTTTATCAGAATATGATCAATTAAAACATAATATAGAAGCTGATCGACAAATATTAGCTGAAATGAAAAATGAATCAACACATTTACGTGAACAAATTAAAACATTTCTTGATGAAAAAGAACAATTAGATGAAGCATGTGATTTACTAGCTAAAAAATGTGAAGCTTTACATAATGCATGTAAAGAAAAAGAACAAAGTAGTCTACCAGGACTTATATCACAAATTGATGAAAAATTAACAGTATGTAAAAGTTTAGAAGATGAAGTTATTAAATTAAAATCTGAAAAAACACGTTGTTTGGAAGAAGTTACTGAAATGAAACAAAAAATTGAAAAGAAACGTATGGAACTTGGACATTCATCGAATGATTTTAGTTTAGAACATCATGGTCAAGATTTACAACAACGTATTAGACGTAGTGAATTAGATTTAGATAGACTTAATGGTAATATTGATGAACGTAGTCGGACTTTAAATGAATTAAATACAATGATTGCTTATACTAAAAATATTATGAAAGTAAATGCAAAATTTTTATTCTAATTTTTGTTTAAATAAATTATTTTTAAAGAATAACCCACCAAATGAAAATCGTCGAAATTTTACACAAGGTTTATCATCCGATTTTCCAATTCTCGATCAACGACATCAGTAAATTTAATTTTCTTTTTGTAATTATAAGTTTTTTGTTGTTTTTATTTTCAAGACAAGAAAATGCAACATATTATGAAACTAAAATTCAACGATTAACAACAACTCTTAATGATAAAGAACAAGAACTTCGATCATCAAATATGCAATTAATAATGTAAAAAAAATTATTTTCAAAACAATTTCTTTTATTTATTTGTTTCTATTTTTAAAGGGCAAAAGATGAACTTCTACAAATGCAATATAAAGTACAAAATCAAGAAGCAAATGCTGAAGCTGTACGTAATTCTATGCAAGTTGAATTAGATAAATTAAAACATTGGTTACAAATCTATGAAAATCGAAAAGCAATATTACGCCCACAATATCATGAAACATTAAAAGAATTAGAATTAAAATTACATGAACAAGAAATGTTTTATAGAAAACAAATTAAAGATCTTGATTCCGAAATGAAAAGAAAACATCATGGAAGACCATCGGATGATTCAGGGTATGAGACTTTTCATATATATTGTCCATCTATTAAAGATAGTCTGATGTATTTATATTGATTTGAGCCTTAATGATCTTGAAATTAAAAAATGTTACTTTGAATTAAAATTTTAGTCGATATTCTTGATCTTGACTTCTTTATAAGACGATTAAAAAGACAATACAATAATCAAAAATTTCATTGAGAAATAATAGACATCTGTTTTCATTTTAAAAATTCATATCTTCAACTAAATGTCACAACAAATCAAGACATAAAACATGTTCTCAACTAACCTGACTGATTCCTTTGTAGTCAAGATCAAAATAAAGCAATTTTTCTCCCGAACATATTTGTCATTAACTCACTGAAACGTTCAAACTGTTTCTTCTTCGACAAGACTTTCACCAGCAGGATATTCACCATTGGCGAAACTACAATAGGCATTCGCCAATTAGCGAAAGTCCAGTAGGTTTTCGGCAACTGTAATAACACAAGATTAGTGTAAGGTGCATATGACAAATTACCCTAATATTATCAGAATAAGCATATTATAGTCTAAACCCTTCAATATAGTTACCAGGAGCTATTTTAAATATTCTTCTTCTTTTCATATAGATTCTTCAGTGATACAACTATAGGTGAAAGTCGTATATCTCCAACAGTTGATGCTAATGATACATCGATGTTACGTGAACAAATTCAAAATATATTCTCTCAACATACTCAGGAATTAGATAAATGTAATTCAAAATATAAAACGAATTTATCGAATCTTAAAAATCGTCTCCATGAATTAGAAAATTCTACAACAACAACGACCTATTAAAAGTGTAGTATTAGTATCAGATACATAACATTGAATGTCTCTTTTTTTCTTTTATTGTCTACAAAATTTTTCGTAGTTTAGATGGACTTTTTTTTTTTGTTTGTCATTTTTCTTTATATTACTAAAGTGAAAAAAAAGCAACAATGAAAAAGAAACACATAATATGTTATTTTTGCGTAGAAAAATACGAAAAGCAATGAAATTGTCGTAAAGACTAAAAAGATATAAAGAAAATATCGCTATTGTCATTTTTTAGTCGTATGATTTCTAATGTTGTAGAATAATAGAAGCAGCATCACTACGACCTATTTGATTAAGTACATTGATCATATTAACAAGAGATTCTTGTCGAGCTTCCCATAATGTTAATAAATGTTCTGTTGGACTTGATTTTGTTGCAAAATATTGAAGATAACTAAAATATAATAGAAAATAATAGAAATTCAGTTGATTCTTCGCGTATTACTTTATTCCAAGAAGATTATTTGCAAACATACGCCAATCATTTCCAAGTGAATTAGGTGGATCTAATACTACACATAATTTTTGACGAATTAGCGATGGTAATCTTAATAAGACGAAAAAATTTTAATCTTAATTAAACTAGTTTTTCTTAATATTACTTAGATATTTCTTTCGTAGATTTTGTAGGTTGACGTTGACGTATAGAAGAACTATTATATCCAGAATTGTGAAGAAACTAAAATTGAATGCATCGATATTAAACACATCTTGCTCTATAAATACTAGGGATGCGCAGTTTCAGTCTACTGAATACTGGTAGCACCGTCAGTTGCTCACTGACAGTGGGTGCACCACAACACTGTTGCGCCGACTTAAATCGCTTTATACTGACTTCCTAGACTTATGCATATCAGTCAAAGTCGGTGCTTCAGTGCCCACAGTGACAGTTTTACAGTATTTGCACTGAAACTGCGCATCCCTAATAAATACGAATATCGATTTAACTTACATTATGTGTATTAACACATAAACGTGTATGTAATGCACTATCGAGTATCGTTGGTTGATAAACATCAATATGCATAGCTAAATGATCAATAAATGTTGTTGTTGAATGTTCATTATCGAGTTGTAAATTTGGTATAATAAATATAAAACAAGAACGATCAAATCTTGTTGACCAAAATGTTTTCAAAGATATTTCTTTATATCCAATATTAATTCTTGATGTTGATGATAATTCTAAATCAACATTAATACATATTTGATCTTCATAATCATGTAAAATAAATTGTTTTGGTTGATCACATAAATAATTTTGTAAAGCAAATTCTTCTGTTAAACAACGTTCTAATGCATCTGTTGTTGCATCAAGAAAACGTAAACGTAATGTTGATATAATTTCATTTGAATTTGTTTCTGTTGTTGTTGATGAACGATTAAAAAATGAAACCATTTGAATATATTTTGATGCATGATGATGTTTTGAGATTGATTCACCAATTAATGCATATGCACCCATACTTTCAAACTAGAAAAAAATAAAAATTTAGAAATAAAATAAGACAAAAAAAAATTTATTTACTAAAATAAATGCTTGTTGTTGATTATTAAATTGTAAATAAACCGGTGTTGAAATATTTTCTTGTCCATAAGTAAGAATTGTTTTCCAATTAAATATATCATCACTAAACATTAAATTTAATTTCCATGATGATTCTAATACAGCTGTATGTTCAAATGAAAGAACAGCTGGTTTAAGTAATGTTATTTCTGATGGACCAATTAATACAACAGGTGATAAACGTGTTTGTCCATTATTTAACATAGGCATTTGATTTTCAATATTTATTAAAGCAATAAATATTAAATGATCATCATCAAGTAAAACAGCATCTTCAGGTATTATTAATGTTACACCTGTATTAGGAATTTCAAGACGACAACCTTTATTATTAAGTATTGAAACAGCAAAATAACGTAAATCCGTATGTTCTGGTAACGATTGAAGAATATTTTCATAGATTAAATTCAAATGATTTTCATTTGATATTGGTTGACTTGCTAATGATGGATATTGTATATGATTTGATGTATAACTTGAGGTACTTAATGTTATAGGATGTATAGATGATTTAGTTGCATAAAGTTGCCTATTCAATGGCGAATCATTTGATAGAAGTAATTTTTCTTTTTCTATTCCGGAATCGAAATTTGTTAATGAAACAGAATTATTTTGTGATACACATGATCTTGTTGATGTTGTATCTTGTTGTATTGAATAATAAAATGGATATTCAGTTTTATCACTATGACAAACGCCTATATGACTACTACCATTACTACTTGTACCTTTTGATGTTATACATGTTGATAAACCTACGAAGAAGAAAACATTAATAAAATATGATAATAATAGGCATGTAGCGAACGCGAACGTTCGGGTTCGGTTGATGTTTCATAATTTCCTTTATTATGCTTCCACATATGTCAGAAAAGTCATTTCGATGCTCAAATTGTTAGAGTGCGATCCAAACTCGAACTCTAAAACCGAACCCGAACCGTTCGGTTACAAGCCTAGATAATAACGAATTTACTAGACAAATTTAGATTAAAGGTAGTCTTTCATGGAAATTCAATTCGAAAACAATATGCTGAGTGAACATATTATTTTTCACCATGATCGTACACTCTGTTAATATATCATTAACTTCAAGAGTATCATATTAAGAATGAAATATCAGATGTCAGATCACATCGAACAAGTGTACTTAAAATGTATCATGCGAATGTATCTTTAGGAAATATGGAAAGTCTTTTAAATTTTAATATACAATTATTAATTTTGCTCATCCTATTATCAAAGCTTATCTTTTGCCTTGATTTATATTACATAGGGAATGATAAAGAAAAATGTTAAACAAAGAAAACGATTAAGATAAAATTTTGGTTGATTTTTTTCATTAGTTCTACTAGATAGACATTGATTATTTTCTTCTCGATTGATTATTCTCATTAAATATGACAAAGAAGAAAAAGAAATCATCAAAATTCTTTTCAACAATTGTTAACGTATTGAACAAATTAATACACATGGTGCAGATGATAAGCGTTCCTCCCATTTTCTTTCCTTATTCTTCTCTTTTCATGCATTCATTCTCAGTTCGTTAATCTATCGAGTGGGCCCGAGCTGACTGACCGCCGGCACACAATCACATATACACACTACAATTATCTCTGCGGTGTTCTTCTGTCCCCACACGCACAGATTGCTATCTGTCAGTTTGATCTCAATTTCATTGTTTTATTCAAGCAATAAGTATGCATAGCAAAAAAAAACGCTTGTTTCAAGCAATTTGCACTTTTGCCGCTTTATGATTGTATACATATTAAAGTTCAGCTGTTACAGAGTAAAAAAAATGAGAAGTACGAGAGACATATTTATTTATAAGTGCACAAATGTCACTATGTTTAGTCTAAACTTTTATTAAAGCGGAAGAAAATGATAATATAAAGATTATATAATCACAAAAAATTACCTTTTTTTGATGTTAAACGTTGTCGACGACGCCAACAAATTAAAAAAAATAATATGGTCAGTAAAAGAAAGATGAGTGTACCGATACTAATCGATGAATAAACGATCACATTAAGAGCAGACGATGAAACAAGAGTCGTAGTATTTCTACCATTATTAATATCTAAATAAAAAAAATATATATATATCTGAAATAATCAATGTCCAGACAAAAGAATTTCTTAAGAGCGTCGGAAATCTGACTAGACGCCGCCTCTCGTTATAATCAAATTGAATTAGTTATTTCATAAGAATAAAGATCAAGTAGATGGTCATCATCATCATCATCGACTTACTTGAACAATGATTTCCTTTGCATGGTCGACTTTCAACTAAATAATCGAGACATGGCTCTTGTAAACATTGCCGCGTACGCATTGATGTACAATCCGATGATCGGCAAGTCGACCATTCAGTCCAATTTGTATACGTACCTTTAAAATTAATAAAAATAAATGAAATTTTTATATTCAAAATCGTTTCTATTACCACTTGACAATGGACGAACGGGAGCATTTGATGATGATGATGAAGTTTTATTCGAACAAGATACAAGACAATCACGTTCTTGTATTAATTCACCATCACAAATAGGTTTTTTTCCATCGGTTACTGATGGTTTTAAACAAGTTCGCATACGTTGTTGACGACCCGTTTTACATACTACTCCTGTACAGTCTGTCCATGAAGACCAATCAGAAAAGCCATCATCTTTAGAGCGAAAAAGAAAGATTCTTTTATAAAATATTATTTAAAAATTTATCCTACCTGTTGGCACAAGTACACCTGGAGGAGATGGTAAATCTTTGGGACATGCGACTTGACATTCTCTTTCGTGTATCTGATCACCATCACAACTAGGACGATTTGTAATAGTTGGTGGATTAAGACATGTACGTACGCGTTTTTGACGACCAATACTACATGGTATACCTTTACATTCAGAAAATGGTTGCCAATCAGACCATCCACGATCATCTAATCAAATAAACAAATAATTTAAACTAAATTCTATTTTTTATATATTTATACCATGAACAATAAGTTCAGCTGGTTCACTTGAATAAGTTCCAGCTATATTTGTTGCAACACACGTATAATTCCCAGCATCTGTTTGTTTTATTTGTGCAATAAGTAAAGAATTTTCATTTGATAATATAAATCTTCCATTACGATTTGTTTCAAGTGATTTCCCATCTTTTAACCATGTTATCTTAAACACAAACAAACAAATAAACGATGAGTTTTTCATTTCTATTCTCTTTCTTCTCTATCCGTTTTTTTTGTTTTCATGTTAAGTATATCATACATTAAAATTTTTGTTTTTTCGCTTATGAAAATATAAGGTATTACGGGTGTAATGATTAGTTCATCGATTATTCGATGGTCTATTCTTGTCTGAGTACGTGTGGTAACAGCAGGCAAGTTATTGAGAATTTAAGTGAACGAATACAACTGACAGGCATACCGCCTATCACACAGTATCGAGTATCTTAATATCATATATATATATTCATTGAATAATCAATCTAGTAGTATTCTTTGTATTAAACAACGTGTTATAATAATGAACTGATAGTATTATGAGAATATTGGAAGAGAAGACTAACTGAATTATCCGCTCATATAATGATGAGCTATTTATTTATATAAAGATCATTATATAATATATCTTACTTTTGGATATGGATTACCACTTGGAGGACGGCATCGTAATTCAGCTGATTTACTTATAACACTATCTGTTCGTAATGGTTCCCATTCAAATACTTTATCCAAATCTATGAAATAAAAATAATATACTATTTAAATTTGCCCTTTTCCTTGTCATCTAATTTGATCTGATTAGAGGATAAGTCTTTTTCTTTTACTAATAGATGTTACTAGATAAATGTCAAGTCATTTATAGACTTGAATAGTAATATTAAGTCAACTTACAAGCTATTTCAATTGTTGCTGCTTTAGATTTCGATGTTCCACCTGTTGCTGACCATGCTTGACAAAAACATTTATATCCATTTGAATCAAGTTGCCCTTCAAGTTGTTCAGCTGTAATATCAATTGATGTTATAATAGTAATTACACCTTTATCCTAAATAAAATATAAGTTTATGTCTTTTTATGAATGTCGAAAATTAAATAGTGAAAACTTACATTTGTTTCAGTTGATTTTGCATGTTCATGTTCAGGTACCCATTTATTATCACAATTAAAAAATATTTGACGTGTGCGTATTGCTTTACATTCAAGTTTAACAGGACGATTTTCGAATATATACGAAGATTTGGGTTCAAGTAGAAATTGTGGTTGTTCAACAAACGGCTGCATTTCACAGAAATAATCTCATCTAAAACAACTCACTTCAGACAATGCCGTCGACATATATATGTATACAAATGCGTATGCTCGTTCTTTCGTTTCAACTCTTTTTTTTTCTCTACAGAGAAAGAAAAGGAGACGAAGAAGAAGAAGAAAAAGAAAATGGCGACAACAATCTCTTCTTCTTCTCGTTTAATATTTGGTGATATATACTAATATCACTAGATGAGTCAACAATTGAGGATTAGAATATCTAATCTTTAACTCAAAAGAAATATATCTGCCTGTTTAATATATATTGATCATATTACAAACGGATATCCCCGATAGATGATTGTCAGTAACATACACACTATAGATTATTGACTACGTGTCTACTAGTCGAAATGAGTAAATAATTAAGTCGAATTTTTAGATATTAAGCAGAGACGCGGTGCCAGTTGTGTTTACACGCTTGCCTGATTCTTCTCACATTCATTTCTCCTTATCTCCTTTTGCTAACAAGTTGATAATCGATGTAAATCTATATATAATGATTTCAAGGAACGCATATTTCTTTTTTCTTCTCCTTCCTATTTCTACGATAATGATATCTTGGTCAAAGAGAGAGAGAGAGAGGTCAACTTTCAATGATTAGTTTTATAAAACAGGAAAAGTGGGGGAGGGAAAAAATTTATATACATATACTTTTATAAATCTAAGCGGCTTATTTCAAGAGAAATGTAACATCAAAGTGTTTAATTCTAATGAAATGAGTGTTTTTAATTATAATAAAAATATGTTCAATTGTGTACAAACATGAAATTTGATATAACAAAATCTAGAAATGATGAACTATGGTATAAACATTAACTATTTTATACTTAAGATCTATTGTTGACAAATGAAAAGAAAAAAAAAATGAAAGGCTAGATGCCTTATGATAACAATGCTGTTATGTAGTTAGGCATATGTTGGTCTAAATAGAATGTATACTTACGCATACATTGCTTCCTTTATGCAAGGTCGTTTTGGATCATCACACACACATTCTTTTCTCTTTTCCTCTCTTCTCCTACACATATTCTTTCTGGCTTTTTTTCATATAAGGATTCATCACTCACTCTCTTTCTTAATTCATCGACACCAATGATCGTCAATCATCATCGTACACGCAACATCATAGTCAGTGTATATATATATATATATACACGTATGTGTTCACCTACATACAAGGGCAAATGAACAATTAACACGAGGATAGCGATAGAGATAGATGAACTTATTTATTAGAAAAATGAACACTAGCAAAGAATAAACTGTTAGATAGACATAGATTTCCTTGAATAGACAGATACATGATGTTTTTTTCGGTTGAATGTCAGTTAAAATAACAATACTACCGCAGCGGGTGTTTTTATACATCCTACAGACGTACTCAAGTTTTTTTTACTCTGTTCGATATCCGCTTCACTCACATCTTTTTTCTCTTCATTTCCTCTAACCGCATCCTCATATAAATAAAAAAAAAAGAAAAAAGAGAAGAAAAAACCTTCCGACCAACTGATATTAAACTATGGTTTTCGATGCACTAACTTCTGATCGAAATGCACAATATGTTTAATGATAATAGCGTTCGATGACACGGCGCCGTGACAAAAAATATATATAAACGTGTATATACATAGAAATTGTGTGTATTTATATATATGAAGTCCATTACATGAGAAATACGAGTGGGAAAGAAAGAGACATCGCTCTTTACCTAACCGTGAAATGTCGCGACTCTCTCACTATGTACATATTCTCTTATATATATATATATATGTTCATTTGAGTGTTAATCAGCTGGTCTCTATCTCACCTGCATAAAAATGAAAGATGAAATTTCTCTTTTTCTTCTTTTTGCAGACATAAAATACGTGCTTCTTTTATTAGTCATATGTAGCACGCGTGTCAATCAAACAAAAAAAGATTTGAACATGCAAAAGCAATGCAAAGTCGATTCCATCTCGAGAGATGTGCTCGACGACTCATCGGGCACGATCGTCTCATGTACTGTTCGAGTGTCTATATATATATATATGGATGTGTAAGGTTCGATTACATCCTTATAAATAGATAGAATAAAAGACAAGACAATCTAGTATCGATGATAGTAATATAAAGGAAGATACTCACATAAAATAGATTAGTGTACAAAAAAACAGAAGAGAAGAGACAGAGTCATGTAAAGTAGTATAGTCAACTATGAACATGCATACATGCACACAAAATAAAATGAACAATAAACATTTAAATAAGTACAGTAAATCAACTTTAACATGTGGTATTTGTTAAATCGATCTATCACATTAAATGTATATCGATATTCTCACGACAAATGAGTAAGAATAAATACAAATATCCTTAAGCGTCAAATGTTTTATCACCTATTACAATCATTGACTAAACTAATCGGAAAAATGATGCTTACTTAAAGATATCTATGTATTTGAAGTTTACATAAGACAATCAAATGACCTGTTGTCTTTTATTCATATTGTATGCATACAAAATACGCTTAAGAATAAAATGATAGATAAATGTATGGATGTACATCGTACACTATTCTCTTTCTCGTCGTTTTTTTTCTCTCTCGTTCTCGTTCATTTACGTAATAACAATCAAAGTTATAACGAGTCGTGTGTACGAAAAAAGAAAGATATTAAATATTAAAGAAAAAAAATTGATCAGTAGGTGGTGAATTCTACCGTTAATTTGTCTCTCATCGACATAGGTTGCATCACTCACCTGTTTCACATAGGGACAAGAGATATCATTGATTGATATGAGAAGTTATTCAGCTGTTCACTAAATATATGTATATATAAATGTGTATGTATAGTGAATTACTCAAAAAGAGAAATAAGATTATGTTCTTTGCCACTTGACTTAGTGAACGAATAAAAGAAGAAAAAAAGACAAGAGACACGGTGCAGTTAATGTTATGCATGTTAAGGAAGTAGCTACCGAGATCATTGTCTAATTGAATGGAGAATGAGAGAGAGAGAGAGAGGGTCGAATAGGCCCCGAAGGGATGACACACCGCATGCACACAACAGCCGTTTGCTCGATGAGATCCAATTACATGAGTACGGCAATTAACTAGCCCGGAAGTATGATCTTACTTATATATATATATATAAATATATGTATGTATGTAATCCATCAGTTACAAACTTTTTTATATTATTTCTTACGAATAGTTTCGTCTGTTTTGAATGAAAAAAATAATATATGTAATGGGAATTGTCTTGATGTCTAATGGATGTAATATATATTTATATATAGTTAGTTGTTGATGTTGGTTCCGTCGAGACATAACTTAGTGTTGAACATATTCATAGAAAGAGGAAGAGAGATGTGGCAATGAATCGCTGTTAAAATATGTCGAGACGAGTCGATGCACAACAACAAACTATCATCATCATCATCATTAGTTGCATTAAGTCTTTTTCTTTATGTGAAAGCTATAAGTAGCTTAGATGCGCCTCAGTGGGATGGGACGTGCCTTAGAATTGTTATTACTACCGATAAGAGTGCTATATGAATGAACATTCTCCCTTGTCTTAGTAATGTTTATGCAAGAAAACACTCGTCCAGACACAAAGTCAAAAGATTAGTGTATTATATTAGATATGTGGCAATATGATCCTACAGCGAAATACTTGACCATAAAGTCGAATGTTTAGACAAAGACTCAGAAGAGAATCAAAAAAAAACAAAATGCGTTCAAGGGTAATTGACATTATTGAGTGTATTGTATTTTGATTTATCTCTTTATCTTAAACTCATGTGTACTGATTGATCGCATCTTATTCTTTCTCACCTTTTGCTTTAGGCTCAAGAGGTCAGTTGTGTATATATTTGAAATGAACAGATGACGGGACTGGTTATTTCACATATACACAATTATCACGAGTTTATAAACAGATAACGAGCTCGACTGATGCCAGCCGACGACGAAACAGTAATATTAATTTTCTCCCGTGTGTATATTTATCAAATAAGATAAAAAAAAAAGGAAAGCTTCAATTTTGACCTTACTCTTTTCTGTGGTTGAAGATTCTTCCGGTTGTTAGTTATTCTCGCGTGCGTGCCATCTTATGATTACTTTAGTGTTAGCTTTCTTTCTTGTCTTTTCAAGTGAAATTCAATCTTGAGGTAGATGAATATATATATATATATGCTATACATATATGAATAAAAGAAATGAATGAATGATGTAATCTGAGAATAAAAGAAGTAACAGCAAATCTTACTTCTAATTACATCATATGCTTGCTTTCTTTCTTTACAATGATGAACTGACTAACTGACTATAGTGCATGGATGATTCAGGGACAATGCTCTTTTTCTTTCATTATTCGAAAGGTCACAAGCACAAGAAAAGATAATTGTATTGATGGAATCTTTCTCGCCTGACCATCATCTTATATTCTAAAAGATTGGATCAAAAGAAAACTATCATACTATTATCATTTGATTCTTTACTAATCGATCAAATTTATTTTTCTTTTCCAGTGAATACTATGAGACAGAAGGAAAAGGTTCATATGTTTAATTGTTGAACGAACAATTGATCGTAATTTCCCCAAGCGAATATATATGTATGTGTGTATATATGTACACAAAACGAAGAAGAAGAAGAAGTTTAATTGCTTACTGTTATTAGTGCTCTTTCAATGATGAATTTTCACACCAGATAAAGCACATACACTTACAAATTACTTTCGATTCAAGGCTGATCATTGTTGGTCAAGATATGAAATTTAAAACGATAGATAAGTGTTCAATAGAACCAGGTGCAAAAGTAATCATACGGATTGATGAGGCTTCATTTACAAGGTTATTAACAAATACAATACGAAAAGAAAATGAATGGATAAATGAATACATTCAACAGTAGTAGATTAGTTATTCTTAAAATTAGTAAAACAATAACAAATAAAAGATGCTGATGAGATAATCTGTCTTTTTCCGTCTCT